GTGGAGGAGTTACTTGTGCTCCCAAGGTCGTTGACAGTCCTGCATCCTCTCCAATTTGTTGAACCAAAGCATCCAATGGTAGGTCCTCTTCAACTACTTGCTCTGTGTGTTGCTCACATGGCTGCGGTTGCGATTCATTGCAGTGTATTCCCAAATCAAATGATGGAGCTTCAAATTCCATGGTTCTTGTTGTCTTCTGAAATGCTTCCACCAATGAATCCACTGCAGCGGTGAAGGTTTCACTCCCAAAGAATATGTCATCCAACTGAGATTCAGTTGGAATGGAAGTTGATTCAATTGCGCTTGCAGCACCTAGCATGTTTGATATCCCTGAGAACGCTTTCTTCATGACTTCAATAGGTGCGCCCTGCTTTCCAATTTCAGACATAGCTTCACCAAACTCCAGGACATCTGATGCTAGCTTTTGGAGCACACGGGTCACCCGATCAACACTTGAGAGTGGCTCACTTGTAGTTGGTGTCGGTGTTGCAGTAGCAGGAGTAGAAGAAGTAGTAGCAGCAGCAGTAAATGCAGGTTGTGGTAGTGAGGTTGTAGCAGCAGCAGTGCTTGCAGGTTGTTGCAGTGAGGTGGTAGCATCAGTCCTTGGCTTCTTAACTCTAGGGATAACCCTTCCTTTTCCAAACCCACCAGCCCTTTTTTCAGCCTTGACTCTCTTTCTTACAAGCGTGGTTGTCCAAGCAAGTATGCTAGGGTATGTTCTGTTGATCTTCATTCCTTTGAATTCTACTCGATCAAAGTAGAACAGCTACAAATTACAGAAGATTATGTTAAAGATGAATTTAGAACAATTTATCCATGTATTCTTAATTGCATGGTCACAGTGTAATGCATAACTATATGTCCATAATCACATAACTATATATCCATAACTTTAAAACTATATATCCACAAAATTCAGAAATAAAAAATGATATTAATAAAATGAGTATATTCCAAGTTTGATGCATATATGTCCATAAACCCATAAATATACATCTAAAAACACATTAATATATATCCAGAATTATTACCAGTATGTCCACAGAGTAATACATACATATATTCACAGAGTACTACACATCCATAATCACATAACTATATATCCACAATTTTAAAATTATATATCCACAAATTAAACTGCATAAAGGACCTCATTAAACTGAGTGTATTCCAAGTGTCATGCATATATATCCATAAACCCATAACTATACATCCAAAAACACATTAGTATATATCCAGAATTATTAACAGTATGTCCACAGAGTAATACATTCATATATTCACAGAGTACTATATATCCATAATCACATAACTATATATCCACAATTTTAAAACTATATATCCACAAATTAAACTACATAAAGGATCTTATTAAACTGAGTATATTCCAAGTTTCATGCATATATATCCATAATAAATTGTTAGTTATACACCTACAACTACATAAAATTCATGCAACTACATTAAAGACAATAAGAACTGACCAATATCAATGTCATTGGCCCCCAAAAGCTTCTCTTTCTATCTTCATTGTAACTATCTATCGAGTCAATGAGAGATTGGTATGTGTAGGCGCACCAATTGTACTCTTTAATCATATCAACATCAATCAATGAGTTTAAGATCCTGTACTTGGAGTAGCGTGTTGTGTTTCCTCGAAGCATGGAGGAAACGGCAAAGACTACGAAATCCCTCTTGAACTCATCACCATGATCAGCTCTCCTAACAATCTCATCTGGCATCTGTGTAGTTATTGGCGAGCCTGCTGTAATACCCCACCTCCTTCTCCATGAAGTCAGCAGCAGTTTGTATTCACGGGTTGAGGTGTCTTCCATCTTTGTCCCCTCATTGACCTTTAGAGGCCCTCGCGGGATTCCCAACGTGTATTCGACATCTTCCTCTTCAATGTGGAGACTATCATCCTCTAATACAAAATCACACCTGCAAACATTAAAGTTGTCCAGCAGGTATTGCACCAACTTTGATTCATTGGTGCAGAGTTGGAGATGAAGAAGTCCACCAAATCCAGTTTCTACGACAGCTTGTTTCTGTCGTGGTGAGAGCCTCTGGACAAGATCAAACATCAGCTTTGGCCCCATCCTCGTATTGAAGTAATCTCTCCTGTGTTCTCTAGTTCGTCGGCGCCGTCTCGTTGAAGTCTCTGCAACAGTTGTTTCCTTAGCAGGGCGTGAGCGCTGAGCTGCTTGTGAATTTAGGGCTGCTGCTGGTTGTTCACTAGTTGGATTAGAGCTCTGAGCTGCTTGTGAATCTAGAATTGCTGCTGTCCGGTACTCTCTTCTTCTTCTTTTTGTTTCTCTAAGATCCTCAGCCAGTGTAGGTTCACGAGCCATTTCTGTAAATAAGAATTATTAAACTATACATCCATAATATCACAACTATTTGTCCACAAACATTTCAGAAACACACTAATTGAAGACAGGAATGATATTTTCATACATGCATAAGTATTAAACTATAAAACCACAATTATAAAGATATATATCCACAATATCACAACTATTTGTCCACAAACATTTCAGAAAACACACTAATTGAAGACAGGAATGATATTTTCATACATGCATAAGTATTAAACTATAAAACCACAATTATAAAGCTATATATCCACAATATCACAACTATTTGTCCACAAACATTTCAGAAAACACACTAATTGAAGACAGGAATGATATTTTCATACATGCATAAGTATTAAACTATAAAACCACAATTATAAAGCTATATATCCACAATATCACAACTATTTGTCCACAAACATTTCAGAAAACACACTAATTAAAGACAGGAATGATATTTTCATACATGCATAAGTATTAAACTATAAAACCACAATTATAAAGTTATATATCCACAATATCACAACTATTTGTCCACAAACATTTCAGAAAACACACTAATTGAAGACAGGAATGATATTTTCATACATGCATAAGTATTAAACTATAAAACCACAATTATAAAGATATATATCCACAATATCACAACTATTTGTCCACAAACATTTCAGAAAACACACTAATTGAAGACGGGAATGATATTTTCATACATGCATAAGTATTAAACTATAAAACCACAAGTATAAAGCTATATATCCACAATATCACAACTATTTGTCCACAAACATTTCAGAAACACAATAATTGAAGAGAGGAATGATATTTTCAGACATGCATAAGTATTAAACTATAAAACCACAAGTATAAAGCTATATATCCACAATATCACAACTATTTGTCCAAAAACATTTCAGAAAACACCAAAAAACAATCAAAGAAACAGAAAAAGAACAGAGTATTGATCTGTTTGAGAAAAATGCAAAATCGTGTTGCAAAACCCTAGTAAAAAATAACAAGAATATATAGCGAATATGAATGTTAACAGTCAAAAAACACAACGTTAACAGTAAAAAATCACAAAAATACATTATACCTGATGGAGAATGCGATGATAACGGGCGACAATGCTAGAATGAAAATGGCGAAAATGGCGACAATGGTGAACAAAACACGCTCCGGCGACAATGAGATGAAGACGGCGAAAATCGCGACTCCGAGTAGACAGAGAGAGAGATGAAGACTGCTACAGTCCGAAGGAAGTGTGTAGCTTGTTGGAGACGAAATGTTGGAAATGGCGGAAAAAGGAGTGTAGTGGCGTTTTATGGCAATAATAATAATATTTTTTTTAAATATCGGGATGAGTGAAACGGTGCCACTAACGGCACCGTTACTTCCCTGGCACTTTACGGTGCCGTTTTCAACCGTGTGTACCAAGAACGGTACACACGGTTGCACGGCATAACAATTGGATGAGACTACCCGAACCAGTGGTTGGACCTGGGGCGAGAGTCTTAGATCTAGGGCTTGGTCTTTGTGACCGGCCCCGGGCGATCACTGTTCCGCCTCGGAGCCCGTCTCCGAGGCCAAGGAAGCCGGATTTGGCCCAGCCCCGCAGCCCACTATACGGGCTTTGACTCAATCTTGCGGCCCACCATGGAATTAGCTAAGTTAAGTGAAACCTCCTTGTATATATTAATCTTGTTTAGTTATTACAACATCATATCTCATTCTTACACAACATACTTTGTAATGCTCTTGCATCAATCCACTTATTATTACTACAATTCTTCCCGTTTACCCTCTTACCCTTTATATTTTACGCGAGCTTATAGATCCATGCATATCACAGGTTAATTAGTTCCATCATTGGTGCTTTTATTGAGAGCTCGATGTCCAAACTCAAGCGTACTTTCCACTTTCGGTCCATGACTACCTGATCAACAATGGAGGGGTCCACCTCTAGCAATTCTCACAACTCTTGCCACACCAACATCACCTCGGGCGAACATAACCTGACTGAAGCCGCAAACTGACGGGGGAGATCTAAAGGATCACTTAAACAACAATTGATAGTGAATGGAGTTATCACAATGGAGTTTGTGAAATCTGATAGGAACCTAGTTGACCCTTTCACTAAAGGACTCAACAAAAAACTAGTATATGAAACATCAAAGGCAATGGGTTTAAAGCCATGGAAACTAGGTGAGGAATTCATAGTGGATCTCACTCTTGTGGTCAAAAGAAACCATGGAAATAATCAAATAGTTACACCACTATTCATTCCTATGACTTGGTGTAATCAAGGTTGAGATAATATCTTAATGAGTTCATAGCCCTAAGAAATGGGCTTGATGAGCTCATAGCGAGTACCTACGTGAGGTTGAAGCCTCTCTTGGCTAGCTCTTAATGATTTCATGGCTCATAGAAGCAGGTTACTATACAACACATGAAATCACCTACTTAAGTGTGAAGGATTAGTCCTCTTCCATGAAAAAACTTATGGCGTTCTTTCTAGAGCAATCATGAGCATCCTAAGATCATTTTTGGCTAAGTTTAACTTTTTTGCGAGCATTCGCACAACTTGGAGGAGTTAATAAACATGATTAAGAGTGAAATTATTAAAATCATAGCATATAGAAATGTTCATATTGGGTATAAATTACTGTCACAATGGAAGAATTGAATAACAATTATCCCTAATAAAACCAGGGAGATGAATTCATATTGTAGAATACCCTCTTGATTCTATACTGACTTCCCCTTTCACTGCTTCTGTCGTCACCCCAAATCCAAACGGAAACAGAGGATCATAATGCGGGTCGCCGACGTTCATCGGAAGTTGATCAACCGACTTGAACCAATTCCGGGCAAGCTTGCCGGTGAAGCCATAGTCGCCGAACAAAGCGTCGGCCACACCCTGGCCTTCACTTCCGGGAAGCCAAGCGGCAACCAGGGCATCTATTCTTGAAATGTATTGTTCCAGGGCGACTGGCCTGCCGGAGATGACAACCACCACGCATTTGACGGCGGCGCAGACATTGTTGATGATGCCGCCGCCGGGTTCGAGAATCGTGAGGTTTGCGCTGTCTCCCAACATCTCTGTGTATGGGGTCTCACCCACCGCAACGATGGCGTAGGAGAAGTGGTTGGAGTTGAGGATGTCCGGTCCTGGATTTTCTTGGTAAACAACTTGTGTGGATGGATCAACAGTGTTTTTCACAGCAGTTAAAATGGTGGTTCCTGCATTTATTTATATAGTCATTGCATTGCTACACAAAACCTTAATTGCCATTTTCATTGAATCAAGAAAGCTGGAAAAGGGCAATCCCAGTCAAGTTGATTAGACTATTGGCTTGGTTATCATAAAGTTACAAATTTGACTTCCAATGAGAGCGACCTATTAATCTAGCTTCTTGGTTTGAATCGGGGCAATCTAAACTGGTCATTTATCGTCTAGGTCACAATGCAAGGTGAGATTTTTCTAGTGCACACCTTTGAGTAACAGTTGCGGGCTTCACACGTCTTAGTTTGAACTGATCAGCTATAGGCAACCTACTTACTGGTCATTTGTCGACTAGGTCACAAGGTGGGATTTTCCTAGTGCCCACCTTCGAGTAACCGTTGCGGGCTTCACACGTCTTGGTTTGAACTGGTCAGCTATGGACAACCTACTGGTCATTTGTCGACTAGGTCACAAAGTGAGATTTTCCTAGTGCGCACCTTTGAGTAACAGTTGCGGGCTTCACACGTCTTGGTTTGAACTGATCATCTATGGACAACCTACTGGTCATTTGTCGACTAGGTCATAAGGTGGGATTTTCCTAGTGTGCATCTTCGAGTAACAATTGTGGGCTTCACACGTCTTGGTTTGAACTGATCATCTATGGGCAACCTACTGGTCATTTGCCCACTAGGTCACAATTTGAGATTTTCCTAGTGTGCACTTTTGAGTAACAATTGCGGGCTTCATATGTCTTGGTTTGAACTGATCAGCTATGGGCAACCTACTGGTCATTTGCCCATTAGGTCACAATTTGAGATTTTCCTAGTATGCACTTTTGAGTAACAGTTGTGGGCTCGTCGTTGATAAAAAGAAAAAAAAAATGGAAAACATACCAAGTGTAAGATCATTGCCACCAGCACCCTGCCACTCAATGGTCCAGCCTCCACATTGGTAGCCCAAATTGTGTGCATGAGTTCCTGCCACAAGTATCTTTGCTGCTTTCTTGGGAAGTGGCAGTAATGGCTGATTATCACTTTTCCCATTCTTTAGAAGAACAAGTGATTTCCTCACTGCTTCCCTTGCCAATTCTCTATGTTCCTATATAATTGTGCCATATATATATGTATAGATTATAGTAGATTATGAAAGGAATGGGAGTTATAGTGTTATATTTACCGGGCTACCAAGTTGGCTTGCCAAGCTCATGTCTGCCATTGGGTTCTCAAAAAGACCCATCATAAACTTGACCCTCAATATTCTCTTCACTGCATCATCAATCCTACTCATTGGGATAATCTTTTTCTTCACCAAAGAAGTTAAATCACCAATAAAATCTGTATAGTTTATTGGCACCATTACCTGCATTTTACACATTAAACCAGCCAGCCATTCAAAAACCTAATTGCACTCCATGCCTATGGGAAAGTCAGATGTGTTTAATAATGGGAAAAATTCTTCATTTTTCTTGCCATTGCTCATGTATAATTTGGACTCACTCACTTCAGGGCGTCGGCCGGATTGGTCAAGTTCAGCCCCTGCTCGATTTGAGACGTGACGTTGTGGCTTACCATGGAGAGATATAGTTAAATGGTTAATGTTCATTTACTTATAACCAATTGGTTTTAAAAGGATATGACAACCAGATAACCAAAGAACTCTGTGGTTAAGCGTGTTTGACTTAAAGCAGTCACAAGATGGGGTGGCCCACTAGGAAGTAAGCATTGTGCAGTGCTGAGATCCAACACTCACCATGTCAATTCCTGCAAGAACTCCAGCTTGAACTGAGTAAGTGTAATTGGCATGAGGTGGGTCAGTAATCCTGTCAATGCCCTCCCAATCTGAAATGACAAATCCCTGAAACATAAGACAATGCATCATTTGATTACAGATTGAACTCAGAACAACAGAGGGATTATATATCTGTCACATATTCTGTCAATCCACCTTGAACTTGAGCTTGCCCTTAAGGAATCCGGTAAGGAGTTCGTGGTGAGCGTGCATCTTCTTGCCATTCCAGCTCGAGTAGGAAACCATAACAGTTGCTACACCTTTCCTGATCGAATCATAGTATGCAGGACATCTGATGCTAGCTTTTGGAGCACACGGGTCACCCGATCAACACTTGAGAGTGGCTCACTTGTAGTTGGTGTCGGTGTTGCAGTAGCAGGAGTAGAAGAAGTAGTAGCAGCAGCAGTAAATGCAGGTTGTGGTAGTGAGGTTGTAGCAGCAGCAGTGCTTGCAGGTTGTTGCAGTGAGGTGGTAGCATCAGTCCTTGGCTTCTTAACTCTAGGGATAACCCTTCCTTTTCCAAACCCACCAGCCCTTTTTTCAGCCTTGACTCTCTTTCTTACAAGCGTGGTTGTCCAAGCAAGTATGCTAGGGTATGTTCTGTTGATCTTCATTCCTTTGAATTCTACTCGATCAAAGTAGAACAGCTACAAATTACAGAAGATTATGTTAAAGATGAATTTAGAACAATTTATCCATGTATTCTTAATTGCATGGTCACAGTGTAATGCATAACTATATGTCCATAATCACATAACTATATATCCATAACTTTAAAACTATATATCCACAAAATTCAGAAATAAAAAATGATATTAATAAAATGAGTATATTCCAAGTTTGATGCATATATGTCCATAAACCCATAAATATACATCTAAAAACACATTAATATATATCCAGAATTATTACCAGTATGTCCACAGAGTAATACATACATATATTCACAGAGTACTACACATCCATAATCACATAACTATATATCCACAATTTTAAAATTATATATCCACAAATTAAACTGCATAAAGGACCTCATTAAACTGAGTGTATTCCAAGTGTCATGCATATATATCCATAAACCCATAACTATACATCCAAAAACACATTAGTATATATCCAGAATTATTAACAGTATGTCCACAGAGTAATACATTCATATATTCACAGAGTACTATATATCCATAATCACATAACTATATATCCACAATTTTAAAACTATATATCCACAAATTAAACTACATAAAGGATCTTATTAAACTGAGTATATTCCAAGTTTCATGCATATATATCCATAATAAATTGTTAGTTATACACCTACAACTACATAAAATTCATGCAACTACATTAAAGACAATAAGAACTGACCAATATCAATGTCATTGGCCCCCAAAAGCTTCTCTTTCTATCTTCATTGTAACTATCTATCGAGTCAATGAGAGATTGGTATGTGTAGGCGCACCAATTGTACTCTTTAATCATATCAACATCAATCAATGAGTTTAAGATCCTGTACTTGGAGTAGCGTGTTGTGTTTCCTCGAAGCATGGAGGAAACGGCAAAGACTACGAAATCCCTCTTGAACTCATCACCATGATCAGCTCTCCTAACAATCTCATCTGGCATCTGTGTAGTTATTGGCGAGCCTGCTGTAATACCCCACCTCCTTCTCCATGAAGTCAGCAGCAGTTTGTATTCACGGGTTGAGGTGTCTTCCATCTTTGTCCCCTCATTGACCTTTAGAGGCCCTCGCGGGATTCCCAACGTGTATTCGACATCTTCCTCTTCAATGTGGAGACTATCATCCTCTAATACAAAATCACACCTGCAAACATTAAAGTTGTCCAGCAGGTATTGCACCAACTTTGATTCATTGGTGCAGAGTTGGAGATGAAGAAGTCCACCAAATCCAGTTTCTACGACAGCTTGTTTCTGTCGTGGTGAGAGCCTCTGGACAAGATCAAACATCAGCTTTGGCCCCATCCTCGTATTGAAGTAATCTCTCCTGTGTTCTCTAGTTCGTCGGCGCCGTCTCGTTGAAGTCTCTGCAACAGTTGTTTCCTTAGCAGGGCGTGAGCGCTGAGCTGCTTGTGAATTTAGGGCTGCTGCTGGTTGTTCACTAGTTGGATTAGAGCTCTGAGCTGCTTGTGAATCTAGAATTGCTGCTGTCCGGTACTCTCTTCTTCTTCTTTTTGTTTCTCTAAGATCCTCAGCCAGTGTAGGTTCACGAGCCATTTCTGTAAATAAGAATTATTAAACTATACATCCATAATATCACAACTATTTGTCCACAAACATTTCAGAAACACACTAATTGAAGACAGGAATGATATTTTCATACATGCATAAGTATTAAACTATAAAACCACAATTATAAAGATATATATCCACAATATCACAACTATTTGTCCACAAACATTTCAGAAAACACACTAATTGAAGACAGGAATGATATTTTCATACATGCATAAGTATTAAACTATAAAACCACAATTATAAAGCTATATATCCACAATATCACAACTATTTGTCCACAAACATTTCAGAAAACACACTAATTGAAGACAGGAATGATATTTTCATACATGCATAAGTATTAAACTATAAAACCACAATTATAAAGCTATATATCCACAATATCACAACTATTTGTCCACAAACATTTCAGAAAACACACTAATTAAAGACAGGAATGATATTTTCATACATGCATAAGTATTAAACTATAAAACCACAATTATAAAGTTATATATCCACAATATCACAACTATTTGTCCACAAACATTTCAGAAAACACACTAATTGAAGACAGGAATGATATTTTCATACATGCATAAGTATTAAACTATAAAACCACAATTATAAAGATATATATCCACAATATCACAACTATTTGTCCACAAACATTTCAGAAAACACACTAATTGAAGACGGGAATGATATTTTCATACATGCATAAGTATTAAACTATAAAACCACAAGTATAAAGCTATATATCCACAATATCACAACTATTTGTCCACAAACATTTCAGAAACACAATAATTGAAGAGAGGAATGATATTTTCAGACATGCATAAGTATTAAACTATAAAACCACAAGTATAAAGCTATATATCCACAATATCACAACTATTTGTCCAAAAACATTTCAGAAAACACCAAAAAACAATCAAAGAAACAGAAAAAGAACAGAGTATTGATCTGTTTGAGAAAAATGCAAAATCGTGTTGCAAAACCCTAGTAAAAAATAACAAGAATATATAGCGAATATGAATGTTAACAGTCAAAAAACACAACGTTAACAGTAAAAAATCACAAAAATACATTATACCTGATGGAGAATGCGATGATAACGGGCGACAATGCTAGAATGAAAATGGCGAAAATGGCGACAATGGTGAACAAAACACGCTCCGGCGACAATGAGATGAAGACGGCGAAAATCGCGACTCCGAGTAGACAGAGAGAGAGATGAAGACTGCTACAGTCCGAAGGAAGTGTGTAGCTTGTTGGAGACGAAATGTTGGAAATGGCGGAAAAAGGAGTGTAGTGGCGTTTTATGGCAATAATAATAATATTTTTTTTAAATATCGGGATGAGTGAAACGGTGCCACTAACGGCACCGTTACTTCCCTGGCACTTTACGGTGCCGTTTTCAACCGTGTGTACCAAGAACGGTACACACGGTTGCACGGCATAACAATTGGATGAGACTACCCGAACCAGTGGTTGGACCTGGGGCGAGAGTCTTAGATCTAGGGCTTGGTCTTTGTGACCGGCCCCGGGCGATCACTGTTCCGCCTCGGAGCCCGTCTCCGAGGCCAAGGAAGCCGGATTTGGCCCAGCCCCGCAGCCCACTATACGGGCTTTGACTCAATCTTGCGGCCCACCATGGAATTAGCTAAGTTAAGTGAAACCTCCTTGTATATATTAATCTTGTTTAGTTATTACAACATCATATCTCATTCTTACACAACATACTTTGTAATGCTCTTGCATCAATCCACTTATTATTACTACAATTCTTCCCGTTTACCCTCTTACCCTTTATATTTTACGCGAGCTTATAGATCCATGCATATCACAGGTTAATTAGTTCCATCATTGGTGCTTTTATTGAGAGCTCGATGTCCAAACTCAAGCGTACTTTCCACTTTCGGTCCATGACTACCTGATCAACAATGGAGGGGTCCACCTCTAGCAATTCTCACAACTCTTGCCACACCAACATCACCTCGGGCGAACATAACCTGACTGAAGCCGCAAACTGACGGGGGAGATCTAAAGGATCACTTAAACAACAATTGATAGTGAATGGAGTTATCACAATGGAGTTTGTGAAATCTGATAGGAACCTAGTTGACCCTTTCACTAAAGGACTCAACAAAAAACTAGTATATGAAACATCAAAGGCAATGGGTTTAAAGCCATGGAAACTAGGTGAGGAATTCATAGTGGATCTCACTCTTGTGGTCAAAAGAAACCATGGAAATAATCAAATAGTTACACCACTATTCATTCCTATGACTTGGTGTAATCAAGGTTGAGATAATATCTTAATGAGTTCATAGCCCTAAGAAATGGGCTTGATGAGCTCATAGCGAGTACCTACGTGAGGTTGAAGCCTCTCTTGGCTAGCTCTTAATGATTTCATGGCTCATAGAAGCAGGTTACTATACAACACATGAAATCACCTACTTAAGTGTGAAGGATTAGTCCTCTTCCATGAAAAAACTTATGGCGTTCTTTCTAGAGCAATCATGAGCATCCTAAGATCATTTTTGGCTAAGTTTAACTTTTTTGCGAGCATTCGCACAACTTGGAGGAGTTAATAAACATGATTAAGAGTGAAATTATTAAAATCATAGCATATAGAAATGTTCATATTGGGTATAAATTACTGTCACAATGGAAGAATTGAATAACAATTATCCCTAATAAAACCAGGGAGATGAATTCATATTGTAGAATACCCTCTTGATTCTATACTGACTTCCCCTTTCACTGCTTCTGTCGTCACCCCAAATCCAAACGGAAACAGAGGATCATAATGCGGGTCGCCGACGTTCATCGGAAGTTGATCAACCGACTTGAACCAATTCCGGGCAAGCTTGCCGGTGAAGCCATAGTCGCCGAACAAAGCGTCGGCCACACCCTGGCCTTCACTTCCGGGAAGCCAAGCGGCAACCAGGGCATCTATTCTTGAAATGTATTGTTCCAGGGCGACTGGCCTGCCGGAGATGACAACCACCACGCATTTGACGGCGGCGCAGACATTGTTGATGATGCCGCCGCCGGGTTCGAGAATCGTGAGGTTTGCGCTGTCTCCCAACATCTCTGTGTATGGGGTCTCACCCACCGCAACGATGGCGTAGGAGAAGTGGTTGGAGTTGAGGATGTCCGGTCCTGGATTTTCTTGGTAAACAACTTGTGTGGATGGATCAACAGTGTTTTTCACAGCAGTTAAAATGGTGGTTCCTGCATTTATTTATATAGTCATTGCATTGCTACACAAAACCTTAATTGCCATTTTCATTGAATCAAGAAAGCTGGAAAAGGGCAATCCCAGTCAAGTTGATTAGACTATTGGCTTGGTTATCATAAAGTTACAAATTTGACTTCCAATGAGAGCGACCTATTAATCTAGCTTCTTGGTTTGAATCGGGGCAATCTAAACTGGTCATTTATCGTCTAGGTCACAATGCAAGGTGAGATTTTTCTAGTGCACACCTTTGAGTAACAGTTGCGGGCTTCACACGTCTTAGTTTGAACTGATCAGCTATAGGCAACCTACTTACTGGTCATTTGTCGACTAGGTCACAAGGTGGGATTTTCCTAGTGCCCACCTTCGAGTAACCGTTGCGGGCTTCACACGTCTTGGTTTGAACTGGTCAGCTATGGACAACCTACTGGTCATTTGTCGACTAGGTCACAAAGTGAGATTTTCCTAGTGCGCACCTTTGAGTAACAGTTGCGGGCTTCACACGTCTTGGTTTGAACTGATCATCTATGGACAACCTACTGGTCATTTGTCGACTAGGTCATAAGGTGGGATTTTCCTAGTGTGCATCTTCGAGTAACAATTGTGGGCTTCACACGTCTTGGTTTGAACTGATCATCTATGGGCAACCTACTGGTCATTTGCCCACTAGGTCACAATTTGAGATTTTCCTAGTGTGCACTTTTGAGTAACAATTGCGGGCTTCATATGTCTTGGTTTGAACTGATCAGCTATGGGCAACCTACTGGTCATTTGCCCATTAGGTCACAATTTGAGATTTTCCTAGTATGCACTTTTGAGTAACAGTTGTGGGCTCGTCGTTGATAAAAAGAAAAAAAAAATGGAAAACATACCAAGTGTAAGATCATTGCCACCAGCACCCTGCCACTCAATGGTCCAGCCTCCACATTGGTAGCCCAAATTGTGTGCATGAGTTCCTGCCACAAGTATCTTTGCTGCTTTCTTGGGAAGTGGCAGTAATGGCTGATTATCACTTTTCCCATTCTTTAGAAGAACAAGTGATTTCCTCACTGCTTCCCTTGCCAATTCTCTATGTTCCTATATAATTGTGCCATATATATATGTATAGATTATAGTAGATTATGAAAGGAATGGGAGTTATAGTGTTATATTTACCGGGCTACCAAGTTGGCTTGCCAAGCTCATGTCTGCCATTGGGTTCTCAAAAAGACCCATCATAAACTTGACCCTCAATATTCTCTTCACTGCATCATCAATCCTACTCATTGGGATAATCTTTTTCTTCACCAAAGAAGTTAAATCACCAATAAAATCTGTATAGTTTATTGGCACCATTACCTGCATTTTACACATTAAACCAGCCAGCCATTCAAAAACCTAATTGCACTCCATGCCTATGGGAAAGTCAGATGTGTTTAATAATGGGAAAAATTCTTCATTTTTCTTGCCATTGCTCATGTATAATTTGGACTCACTCACTTCAGGGCGTCGGCCGGATTGGTCAAGTTCAGCCCCTGCTCGATTTGAGACGTGACGTTGTGGCTTACCATGGAGAGATATAGTTAAATGGTTAATGTTCATTTACTTATAACCAATTGGTTTTAAAAGGATATGACAACCAGATAACCAAAGAACTCTGTGGTTAAGCGTGTTTGACTTAAAGCAGTCACAAGATGGGGTGGCCCACTAGGAAGTAAGCATTGTGCAGTGCTGAGATCCAACACTCACCATGTCAATTCCTGCAAGAACTCCAGCTTGAACTGAGTAAGTGTAATTGGCATGAGGTGGGTCAGTAATCCTGTCAATGCCCTCCCAATCTGAAATGACAAATCCCTGAAACATAAGACAATGCATCATTTGATTACAGATTGAACTCAGAACAACAGAGGGATTATATATCTGTCACATATTCTGTCAATCCACCTTGAACTTGAGCTTGCCCTTAAGGAATCCGGTAAGGAGTTCGTGGTGAGCGTGCATCTTCTTGCCATTCCAGCTCGAGTAGGAAACCATAACAGTTGCTACACCTTTCCTGATCGAATCATAGTATGCAGGCATGTGAATGCTGAGCAGACCATTTATGTCGATTATGGTGTTGCTCTCGTCCGTGCCATTAACCGTGCCACCATCCCCGACGAAATGCTTGGCACATCCCACAACTTTTGTCCTTCAAAAACACATCACATTTGAACCTACAGTCCATAGATTCACACATCCAATCCAACCCGTAAAAGACAAGATCGAGGTCCATACTTATCTGCAGCAACAAAGGGAACACCCACAGAATTTGCTGGGGGGTCTCCTTGTAAACCAGGTATGATCTCGGTCATCATTTGCACAATTTTGTGATCTTCGCTATAGCTTTCGTAACATCGCCCCCATCTCGGATCTCTACACACCTGTTGAGCATATAATCATTAATGTGCAATTCAACTATTAACTTAGACTTTTAGTTGAGATGGAGCACATGCTTCAATTTGGTATTAGAGCTAGATTGAGTGTGCACGTACGGGCTAAACCCTGTCAAAGGACCAAAGGACCAGAACAGGTAAACCAGCTTAGGTTGGCCATAACTGATCTGATCGGCTGAAACTCAGATAAATGCTAACATAGAAGCAAGAAAGTAAAACATTCAAAACTTACTGCAATGCAGGGAGCAAAAGCATAATTTACTCCTGTAGCTCTAACTTCTAGTGCAGTTGCAGCTCCAATCCTTTTCACAAGCTCTGGATCCCTGTCCATATATACATACAAAGATATATAGAGTTGGGAATATGTATATATTCTTAGCTTTAACCATGCATATATATATATGGTACCTGGTGACACCAAGCCCAACATTGTGGGGGAAGATGGTAGCCTTATAAACATTATTGTTGCCATGAACTGCATCGATTCCATAAATGATGGGAATCCCGAGGCGGGTCGAAAGAGCACCTCTCTGATACTCATTAAACATGTTAACCCAATCCTCAACTGAGGCCTTAGGTGCTGGCCAACTCCCTCCACCACTCACTACACTCCCTGCACCACCATTCCATCATCATCCATCAAACATTTAATATTGCTTCTGTTTCTGCTGCTACGAGGTTACGGTTTCTAGCTCGTAATTAAGTTTTTATTCAATTATCTTGAAAATGCATGTATAAAAGCTATAAACACATATCACATTCAAATGTGTTTGGCAGACACGGCTGAAAATTATGGAATTTCCGACCACCTGAAAATGATCTTAAATCAAGTCGAATGCCAAAAATGGTCGGAAATAGCAACGAAGGTTTTTCCAGATCCCAAAAGCGATCGGAACAGGACTCTCGACTTGATTTAAATCACTTTCAGGTGGTCGGAAATTCCATAATTTCCAGTAGTGAGAGACCGGTAAAAAACCAAGTTCAACGCTTTAGCTCTCAAAAATGCTCTCGAAAATGTGACAGTATAAAGAAATAAAGTTGTGCCAACACTCGCTACGAACTATAGTTTTTGGCACAGTGATAAACGCTTACAGAACGCGTACCAATGAAGTATTGGTTAATAACATGAGGTGTTGAAACTTTCCTCTCAATCTGAGTCATCTGCCCAATCTTCTCCTCAAGGGTCATCCTCTTCATCAAGTCCTTGATTCTTTGACCCACAGGCTGCCGGGGATCCTTGTACTTGATATACTCCACCCCTGCCGCCGCCATAACACCAGACATGAAGCACAACAACAATAGTAACACAAAACCCATCGCAGGTTTGGAGATGTTAGCCACTCCCATTGGGCTCCTGTTCTGCATCATATCCCCACCCTGCAAAACAATGAAACATAAACTCCGTATTACATAAGTGATAAAATAACTAAATAAGAGAAATGGCTAGAAATGAACATTATTATTGGAGGTGTACTGTACCCCTTCCTGTAGAGATATGTCTATACACATCCATACCCCCTTTTATAGATAATATAATGTAGTCTGTGAAAGTTGGCCAAGCGGGAAAGTGCAATACTGCAAGTTGGTAGTTGATCTTGGATTTTTTTTTTTTTTTTTTTTTTTGGGAGAAGTATTTAATTATTTTTATTCTACTATTTTCCATACCATTTATCATCTACAAGATCTAATTTACAATTTAATTACTGTACTCGTCGAACCTTTTGAATTTTTAGTCTAACGACCATTACTGCGGTGTGTTGGATGTCATTGTTTATGAGTTTGTTGATAATGTTTTGTAATTATATTTTCTGACATGAGATATCTTCTACGGTGTTGGATTGGGCATGGCCTGTGGGAGTGTGGGAGTGTGGCCGTGTGGGGCCATCATTCTAATAATGGTGTATCCCTTCTCAAAAAAATATTGATTTTTTATCAGAAAAGGAAAAAGATTTTAATTTGCTTTCCCATCAAATGAATCACAAGATACCACTGTTCTTGTATAAAATATCAAGAATATGTTAACTTCGAAGGAGTAATGTAATATTTTTACAAACTTCACTAACGTAATACATCGAGAAAATATAATTTTTATGAATATTATCACAAATAAAATTCAAAAATTAGTCAGCAAATCATGTGGCTTATGTACTAGCTTGGACAACGGGTTCTTTCTCTGTTCTTAGGTCATGGGTTTCCGCTCCACCGACTTGTTTTTCAACATAAGTATTACATTTTTATATTGACCAACTCGACCTGACTCGTTTCACCATAGACACTAATCCGTGAGACGGTTTCACAATAGTGTGATCCTAAGAATATTAGTTTAAAGAATAATGTATATAAAAACTAATAGGTCCTACACAATACTAATTAACAAAGATGTATAAGGGTATTATTTTCTCTCCAAGTTGAACATTTCTTCCCAATGGCTTTAGAATTGGAATTGGCTTTGGTATTATTAGAATTGAGATACCAAAGGGGGGCAAAGAATTTATTTTCCATAGATTTGAGAAATTCAACTTTCATTGAAAAACATTTCTTCTATAAACCAAACATCATATTACTAATTTTTCCTCAAATTTCAACCAAAGACTCCATAGTAGGAGACACCAAAACCTTCCCCGTATACACACTATGGGGATGAAAATATGTTGTTCTAACTCATACTCAGCCTTGAAATATTATATTTTACTACTAACTTATATTCAAATTCATAATCTGTCACTTTTTGTAAGCTACTAAGCTTATAATGCAATATTGTAGACTAGTCAGGCTTTAAATGTCCTTAGAAAGTAATAGTTTGAGTTACTACTCTCCGTAAACGACAGATAATAATAAAAACACTAAGGAATAAAAGGTCAAATAGGCTATCGAACCGCACACGATAATGCAATTAGGTCACTGAATTCAAAAAAGTTATAATTGAATCCCTAAACTAACCCGTTTCAAGCAATTTGTCCAATATGCATGTTTTCCCATATCTAACAGGTCACCAAAATATTTTTAAAAAATAATTAATTAAAATAAATTAAAATTCAAAAAAAAATCGTCGGGACCTTCGTCTCCATTGCCGGAGACGAAGATACCTTCTTCGTCTCCGGTGGAGACGATGTTTTTTTTTTTTATATATATAGTTTATTTTAATTAATTATTTTTTTTTTAATATTTTAAATTTGGGTGACCTGTTAGAAATAGGGAAAATCTGCAAATTGAACAAATTGCTTGAAATGGGTTAGTTTAAGGACTGAATTGTAGCTTTTTTGAGTTCAGTAGCCTAATAATAGTTCGATGACCTATTTAATCCTTATTCCAAATACTAAATGGTTCAAATTACACAAATTGTCACCGACGCAATTTCTCATATATGTATAAAATCTTGTCTGAGTTATTTTCACTTTTGATCCCACGAGTATCGAACTATTTCCACATTTGGTCCCTGACTATTAAAATTTCTAGATTTAGTCCCACGACTTTTAAATCCTTGCCACATTTGGTCCTTGACTATCAAAATTTTCATATTTAGTCCCATGACTTTTAAATCCTTCCACATTTGGTTTCACGACTTTTAAATTCTTACTACATTTGATTCCCGACTATTAAAATTTCCACTTTTGATCCCACGAATTTTAAATCTTTGCCACATTTAATCCATAACTATTAAAATTTTCAGATCTGGTCGGGTAATTCTCTAATCCCAAAATTAACAACTAATCTCCCTTCTAATTAAATAAATTGTACTTTTTGTACCAAACATTTCATGTTTTGTAAATTTAAATTTGTAATATAATTTTAATTTATTTAACTTAGTCGGGAACCAAATGTGGTAATAATTTAAAAGTCGTGGGATCAAATTTAAAAATTTTAATAGTCGGCGGTCAAATGTAGCAAGAATTTAAAAGTCGTAGGACCAAATATAAAAATTTTAACAGGGCGTTTGGTTGGAGGGGGGAATTATGTGGGAAAGGAATTAGAATTCCATGAGAGTTTAATTACTGGGAATACAGTGTGAATTTAAATTCCAGTATTACTGGAAATTTTAATTCCAATGTTTGGTATACATGGGAATTGAAAGGGAATAAGTAGTATAAAGTCAAAAATGTCCATTATTGTTGTTAGACATTAATTTTAGGTTAAAAAATGAATGGGTAATTTTGACTCATCACTATCTTTTTTTCCCAGGAATTAAAATACCGAGGGGGGGAGGGGGGACATGGGATTTTAATTCCATGAAAATGGGGGAATTGCAATTCCCTCCAACCAAACTACGAAATTTAATGGCCTTTGGAATTAGGTGGGAATTAAGTGAGAAGGGAATTTAAAATCCCTCCAACCAAACGCCCTGTAATAGTCGAGGACCAAATATGGTAATAATTTAAAAGTCCTAAGACCAAATATAACAATTTTAATAGTCGAGAACCAAATGTGAAAATGATTTCATACTCGTAGGACTAAAAGTAGAAATAACTCAATCTAGTCTTGACTTTATAATAAAAGTAGAAACGTTTATACACCGTATTTATTAATTAATACCTCAATAACGGAGTGCAATTAATTATATAGATAGACATCATTTTACAATAAATTCAAAATACATTATAATTAGTATTATTTTCTTTGCCAAATTAAATAGAACCAGAGGTTATGAGGCCAAACCCAAAGGGAAACAAGGGATCATAATGAGCGTCGCCGACGTTCATCGGCAGCTGATCAACCGACTTGAACCAAGTGCGAGCAAGCTTGCCGGAGAAGCCATAATCGCCGAACAAAACATCAGCCACCCCCTGCCCTTCGCTTCCCGGCAGCCACGCAGCAACCAGTGCATCCATCTCCGCTACGTAAGGCTCTAACACCACTGGCCGGCCGGAGATCACAACCACCGCGCATCTGACTGCGCCGCACACTTTTCCGATGGTGCTGCCTCCCGGCTCTTTTATCGTGAGGTTGGAGCTGTCGCCCCACATCTCGGCGTATGGGACCTCGCCCACCACAACAATGGCGTAGGAGAAGTTGTTGGAGTTGACGAAGCTTGCGTCTGGATCGGATTCGTAGACAACTTGGGTGGAAGGGTCGACTGTGTTCTTCACGGCTGTTAAAATAGTGGTTCCTGCATAGATGCATTGCCAAGAAATTAAAGACTATGATATTACTATTAATAATTATAAAAAATGAAGCTACTTATTGAAAAATTTCAATAATTATAACATTGGCCATATTTTATTTTATTTTTTATCAAAACTCTCAATGAATTTAGATGGACACTTGTTTCAGGAAAACCTTGTTCTCATTTAATCATGTCTTGATATATACATTTGTTTTAGACGGAGATTGCACGACTAATTTGATGTTTAATATTTGTATTTAAATAAGTAATTCAAAGTATATCCATACAAGATTATATATCAAAAGTTCATTAAAATTAATGTTAAACGTACAGTTTTCTAAAAACAATTATCTAAATACTTATTATTGTAGTTAATTCGCTTTTGGATAGATTTTGTCATTTTCTTCGTTTTTATTGCTTGTTAATTAGTTTCTTTTTTGTTGGTAGTGTCTCATATTCAATTGAGTTATTGGTGCTACTTCGCAAAAAGAACATTTTTTGTCTAATTAGTTTTGTTACATTAAAGAAATAGATCCATGGAATCCCTAAGTTAATTCCTTTATACTAATATTTATAAAATTGACCCGTCATTTTTTAACCATTAATCATCTTATAGATAGATGGATCAAATTAGTCCACACCTATCACGAAAAACCTAATTCACATTTGATTATATATATAGGGGATGGTTCACGTGTAAAGAATCTCCAAAGTGAAAGATGCATGAGATCAGAGTCGTTGATCTAGTCTAGATCAACGACTCAAATCAAGGAAAATTTAAAATAAAATAAAAAAACCTGGGAACTAGATGCATTCCCCTTCCACCATTGCTTAACTAACGCACCTTAAGTATTGAATTAGCGCACCTTAAGTGTTAAAATGACGAACCTTAAGTGTTAAAATGGCTCACCTTAAATGTCAAAATGGCTCACCTAAGTATTAAAATGGCATACCTTAAGTGTAAAACTTATGCACCTTAAGTGTTAAAATGACGCACCTTAAGCTTTGAAAATACACACCATAAACTTTACAATTCGAAAGGTCAGCTCTCGTAACCTTTTGGGTACCTTTCAAAAGGTACCATTAGTAGTAGTTACCTCTCTAATTACTCACGTTTTGAACCATTCGAGCCACTCTTCGGAGCTTTGAAAATACGCACCTTAAGTGTTAAAATGATGCACCTTAAATGTTAAAATAGGACTCTTTAAGTGTTAAAATGACGCACCTTAAGTGTTAAAATGACGCACCTTAAGTGTTAAAACGACACACCTTAAGCTTTGAAAATACGCACCATAAGCTTTTAACAATGTGCAAAATTATCACAATACCACCGTGTCTTTTTTTAAAATTTATCTTCATTCCAGACTATTGAAGAATGCGACGCCAGCAGTTGCCTACTCCAATAGAGAAGACGACCAATCTGGTCGCCTTCTCCACCGTGGAGAAGATGACCGGTCCTGTCGTCTTCTCTAGTTGAAAAAGTACTGGAAGTTGCTTTTTTTTTTTTAATGGTGGTGAACAGTGGTTAACGGCGGTCAACATTGATAATTTACTGGGTTACCAGTAAATCGGACTTATTTGATTCATTTTGATAAGTTCGAGTGTTTAATTCCACTTTTTTAAAGTTCAAAGGCCTAATTGCACTTTAAATAAAGTTCAACAGTCTATTGAATACTCACAAAATAGAGCATACCAGTTGTAAGATCATTGCCCGCAACACCCTGCCATTGAATGGTCCAGCCTCCACATTGGTAGCCCAGATTGTGTGCATGGCTTCCAGCCACAAGAATCTTTGCTGCTTTCTTGGGAAGAGGCAGTAATGGCTGATTATCACTTTTCCCATTCTTCAGAAGCACAGCTGATTTCCTCACTGCTTCTCTTGCCAACTCTCTATGCTCCTACAAATTCAAATCAAGAACAACATACAGCTTAATAAGAACTAGCTATCTAGATTTGAAGGAATCCCAGTAATAGCTGATGATATGATATGATATTCACCTGACTCCCCAGTTGGTTTGCCAAGCTGAAATCAGCCATGGGGTTCTCGAAAAGACCCATCACAAACTTAACCTTCAGTATACGCTCCACAGCATCATCGATCCTACTCATTGGGATAACCTTGTTTTTCACTAGGGAACTCAAATCGTTAATGAATTCCGTATAATTCTCGGGGACCATAACCTGCAAAGTACACACCAGGCAGGCTAGAAACATTTTTGGAAGTTATCGTTTCTTATTGCAAATATATAAGTCGGGCTAACCATGTCAATTCCCGCTAGAACTGCAGCTTGAACCGAGTAAGAATAGTTAGAATGAGGGGGATCAGTGATCTTGTCAATGCCCTGCCAATCTGAAATCACGAATCCCTGAAATACATACATGCCAACGAAAATGGCGTTATACATACATCCCAGCTCGATAGAACATTTTGGGAGGATGTAAATCACGGTGACTCAATGACTCAGCAGACAGGATCAGAATGGCGTTATACATACATCCCAGCTCGATAGAACATTTTGGGAGGGTGTAAATCACGGTGACTCAATGGCTTAGCAGACAGGGCCAAAATGACGTTATACATACATCCCAGCTCGATAGAACATTTTGGGAGGATGTAAATCACGGTGACTGAATGGCTCAGCAGACAGGGCCAGAATGGCGTTATTCTTGGCAAGGCAGAAAGAATGCATAATTCCATTTCAACTCGAAATATTCAGTCCTTGTCACTTTTACCTCAAACTCGAGCTTGTCTTTGAGGAACCCGGTTACAAGATCACGGTTAGCGTGCATCTTGTGGCCGTTCCAGCTGGAGTATGATACCATAACAGTTGCAACGCCCTTCCTAATCGAATCATAATATGCAGGCATGTGAATGCTAAGTAGCTCGTTTAAGTCAATTACAGTGTTGCTCTCATCAATGCCCTTCACCGTGCCACCGTCTCCAACAAAATGCTTAGCACAGGCCGCAACTTTCGTCCTTAACAAAATAAAACGATCTATTATGTAATCGCCATAAAATGGTCTAGAAATGATGCCACTTCCACATTAACATGTCAACCTGTTTTTCCCATTTTTCTAAGTTTATATAGACGATTTGAACAACAGAATCAACCCAAATTTAAGTGATGTAAAAGACGAGAGTTTCATACTTTCCTGCAACGAAGGGAACGCCCATAGAGTTAGCTGGGGGGTCTCCTTGTAAACCAGGTATGATCTCGGTCATCATTTGAACAATCTTGTGATCTTCGCTGTAGCTTTCATAACAACGGCCCCATCTAGGATCTCTACAGACCTGGAATGGAATAATATAGTTAGGCATCAAAACGATACTAATATTAACGCAACGAGATAAGTTTAGCTTATAAACTCACAGCTATACAGGGAGCAAAAGCATATGGGATCCCTGTAGCTCGGACTTCAAGTGCAGTTGCAGCTCCAATTCTTTTCACAAGTTCTGCATCCCTGTCATCATAAGGATCCACAAATCGAACAAGAAACAAGTTTCCATATGCCTACCTACCTAAATCTCTAAGACTGCCTAATCTATAGAGATTCCATATATTATATATACACTCCATAACAGTAAGAATAGAGTTACCTGGTGACACCAAGCCCAATATTGTGAGGAAAAATGGTGGCATTGTAGGCATTGTTGTGGCCATGGATTGCATCAATTCCATATATCATAGGGATTCCAAGGCGGGTGGAAAGAGCACCCTTTTGAATCTCATTCACCATCTTTACCCAATCCTCAGCAGAGGCCTTAGGACATGGTACGCTCCCTCCTCCACTCAATACACTTCCTGCCATTACCAAAATCCTTCAATTCTTATCACATCCCACAATCAAGAAACATAAAATTTTCCCTACTAAGCTCCAATTTTTAGCTAATCTGCATTGCAACACTTTGGTAAAATAGTTAGCTTATCAGCAAATTTTGGCTTATTTGACCACTATTAGCTGTTTGACAATCAATATAAATGTTTGGTTAATCAGATTTTATAACTCCAAATGCGAAAATTCAAAGTTGCGCAAAGCAACTTTTTCAACTAGCTTTTCGAGAAAAGAAATTATACTAAACAACTATCAGCTAACAGCTAATTTACCAAACACATTTCTACAATCAGCTAATGTAATCAACTAGTCATACCCAGACCCAAACCCAATCAGCTAACAGTCATTTACCGAACAGGGCCTTCATCTCCTTTTCTTGATCAAGAAAATGATAAAAATTATGGACCCATCACCAAAAAAAATGAATCTTTAAAATGCAATTGATTGTACCCAAGGGCTTTACCAATGAAGTATTGCTTCATAACATCAAAAGTTGCAACTTTCCTCTCAATCTGAGTCATCTGCCCAATCTTCTCCTCAAGTGTCATCCTATCCATCAAGTCCTTAATTCTTGCATCAACCTCCTGCTTAGGGTCCTTGTACGCCATGTACTCTGCTCCTGCAACACCTGACATGAACCACAACAACAATACCACAAAACCCATCTTGGGCTCTGCAAATCTCCCCATTGCCATCCCTATCATCAAAAGCGTAGCAGCTTAACTAGTCATTGCATGATCAGAGAATAAAAAAGAACAGTTTGTTTTAAAGACAGGTGATTATTGAAAGAAAAACTGAAAATAAAAGACAAGTCTTTGAACTGTACCTGTAATCTGTAGAGTTTCCAAAAGTTGCACCCTGTATATGGTGGAACTGAGTCTGGGTACACACCCATTGATTCATATATATCATGTTGGCGTAGGGGAGAGGTAGAAGACGAGCTGAGGTTAACCTGTATCCAGGCCCGGTCGCCTGGTAAGTAGCAACAAAAATTAACATATATTTTCATACAAAAGGGAAAATTGAAAAAATGTCCATATATCAATTATCAATGTCACTCCTAAATTATGAGTGGTGTAAATATTGCCCCTCAATTATTAAAATGGTGCACATATAGCCTCTTCCGTAACAGATCTATGGTTCCCCACCGCTGCCCATCGTTGGTACTTTGAATCGAGGGAGGGAAAAAACAACTAAATTACATATTTACTCCGACTTAACGATGTCGTACACTAATGGGGAACCACATGTCCGTTACGGGAGGGTCTATATGTACACCGTTTTGATAATTGAGGGGCAACATTTACACCACTCATAATTCATGGGTAACATTGATAATTGGCATATTATAGAGGGGCATTTTTTACAATTTTCACAATTTAAATTACATTGGAAAAAAATACTAATGTTAAATAATACGGGTATATTTATAAGTTTTTAACAATTTTACTACACAATAATAATTATAAAAGAATTTGAATATTCTTTTTTTAAAACAAATATTCTTTTAAATGTATATTATCATTTAATGTGATGACATTTCAGTTACTATTCCAAATGAGTGATTGAACTCCGGTGGTGAGGATTAGGAGTCTTAAAACATATACTACTTATGTACAAAACCTAAGTATTTCAAAAATAAAAAATAAAATTTGAGGACAAAAAATATTTTTAAAATATAAAAATAATCAATAATTGTAGCAATGCATTCATAAATAAACAAGAAAAAAAGTGTCAAATTACCCTCCTAAGCCAAGTGGATAATGCAATTAGATCCCCTAAAAAAAAAAAAAAAAAAAAAAAAAAAAAAAAAAAACTACATTCAAGTCCCCTAAAGAGTAAAATTGTTCAATTAAGTCCAAATTGACTTGTTTATCAGGTTAAATCAATGCGGTGTTGATACGTGAAATTTTTTTATTTATTAATTATAAATTAATTAATTAAACAACAACAACAACAATGGTTGCCACCCTTGTTCCCGTCCATCTCCATAGATCTGGAACGAGGGCGGCGGTCATGGCCGTCTTCTTTAGGCGGTTATGGTCGTCTTCTGGCCGTCCTGCCGTACAGCCAGTGGCTGTTTTATTTATTTTTTAATTAATTAATTTATTTATAATAAATAATATTTTTTATTTTTAATAAATAAAAAATATTTGTTTTAAAAAATAAAATAAAAAGGACACGTATCAACACCATATTAATTTAACCTGATAAACAAGTCAATTTGGACTTAATTGAACAATTTTACCGATTTAGGAGACTTGAATAGAGCTTTTTTTTTTTTTTTTTTACTTAGAGGACCCAATTGCACTATCCACTTGACTTAGGGAGACAATTTGACACTTTTTCTAATAAACAATTATATATAGTTTATAAAAATGAATAAACAATTTAAGATCAAATAACAAAGAGTATGAAGAAAAAATCATAAAGTTTCAAATTAAAAATATAATTAGAATTAAGAATCTCTCAAATCACAATTTCTATTTTTATACTATATAATAATATCTCATCTCCTCTCAGTTAAACTCTTGTTGCATATATTATCTCGTAAAGACGGAAAAAAAATTAATAGAATTATATTTATGAAGTCTTGACCTCTTAACTTCTAAAATATGAGTTATTCATAAATCTTGCCCACAAACGAAAAATCTCCCGCGCCCAAGTGCCCCTATACCGCGTGCCAATTGAATTGTGGACTGATAAATAATAGTGATTTAGCGCCTGCTCACAAGGAGTCATCCCCACAAGAGGATGCAACTTTCACACTGCGGTTGTTAAGGCTCAGTCATGCGTTCTTGTCCATAATCTGTCACCTAAAATTCAACTGAGCTACTCATAAATCTATACTATAAATCAGGAGGCACCCCCTTAAAGCATGAATCAGGTCTGCTTGTATCTTTTGATTTACGAAAAGGTTCACAGTTATTATTCAAAAATGTGAAGTAAGTATTTCACTCAAGACCAATAAATAAACTTTCACAAGGAGTCAAACTTAAAACTTTATAGTTACCAAGTCAAATTTCTAGCCAATTTGAGTCAAACTGCACAAAGTTAATTTGTATCCTACCATTGTGGTCTCACTATTATGTCATTTATTTAAAAGTGACTTTAAACATCCTAATCACACTTGCCTTGAATCATATCTATACTTGTGTAGTTGAGCTTCACAATACTTACAAAAACTTTAAATTAATCAAATTTCAAAATGTGGGTAAATTTTTTCATTAGAATCAAATAAAATAAAAAGTAACAACAAAACAAAAGATTGAAGTTGGGTACGACTCGAGTAATCTTGAATCTGGTCTTGTAGCAATCACAGTATAATTTTTGGATGGTTTTTTTTTTTTTTTAGGTGAAGGGAAGAGAAGTGAAAAGATAGGAGAAAAATGGATTTGTAAGAATTAGGTTTTGAGGGGTTCAAATGGCCACAAAAAAAAAAAAAAAAAAAAAAAAAAAAAAAAAAAAACATGGTTAAGAGATCAATGAACCTGATTACCCACACGTTAGTCAGGATGGCAGGCTCTCAACAACTTTTTTCGATCAGTTTTTTTTTTTTTTTTTTTTTTTAAAGAATTATAAGCTAACAGTTAATTTATCAAATATCTTTCTACAATCAGCTAATGTTATCAACTAGTCAAACTCACTAACTCATTCAGCTAACAATTATTTACCAAACACTCAAAAAAAAAAAAAAAAAAAAAAAAAAAAAAAAAAAAAAAAAACATGCCACATATAGAGTATAGTACAGGCAAATCCGTGTGGGCATGGGGCACCGAAGGCACGTCCCCATCCTACGTTGTAACCATCTTTGAAGACCATATCGTGTTTTTTGTCTGCGTTTGCCAAAGCTACTAACTTAATCATCTAAAAAAAATAAAATAAAATGAAAACCGTCGCTGAATATATACACGTATAATTTACACACTGTCGAATTCTAACTAGTACAATCAAGTAGGGAATAGGGATTCCTAATATACACGCAACAACAAACAAACTGTATCTACTTACAAAGGAAATTACTACATCAGGGCCCACATGAAGAAAATAACCCATCAGAATCCGTCACATCATGGAGTAAATTTGAAGGAGTAAAATTTGGAAGTACATGTAGAACTCACTTACAAATACACTCACTTTTTGAAACTGCACTCTGTAACATGCCTTGAGAAAAATTCTCCCTGAAAAAGAAAAATGATAGTAATCTTTTACTTTAGATCAACCGAATTTATATTTTTGAAAAAAAAAAAAAAAACATAACATCTTCTATGACTTAACCACCTTAAATGAACCAATAATTTCGTACAGGACTATAAATGGTGTGGGCTATTTGCACAAGGCCACAAGGGCAGATGCATCCATAATTGGTACATAAGGGGACTCCAAAGTTGAAAGGACCCACCCACCCACCCTGACCCTGGGTGCACATGTCTTCATGATTTATAGCAACCATCAAAGCTCCTGCCTCATCAACACACCCATCGCTTTAGACAACAAACCAATCTCATGTGATATTTTCCGGCATGCTGTGCACATTCAAAGTTTCAGATAGGGAAACTCCCGAGGCCGAGTGGTTGGCCAATAACATCGCTGTAATATTCGTTGTAATTGATATAACCCCATAGATGTGAAAGACCAAAGTCATCGTGTTTAGGGGACTTGAGATAACATTCATACAAATCTTTGACGCTCTTCATCAATGTATTTCTTATGGAAAGCACCTGCACCCTCACCAACAGATTTTACCAGTTAGTTTATCATCTTCAAAAAGATATTACTACATTGCATATCACTATCATCCAAATATTTTCTATCTACAATTCATCTCACATTTAAGTACGATGTTTCCAAATACGTTTGCTTTAATTCTCCAGTTTTTTTATCTTGTTTTCCATTTTCCATTTAAGTATGATCGCACATTTTTTTATATAGGAAGTAATGTCCAAAATGAACAGATGTTCAACAGTTGAGCACAATAGATAGCATTTAGCCATCTTTAAGCCATTCAATGACAGTGATAATAAAGATACTAATTTTGTACAAAAAAAAACAAAAAAAAAAAAAAAACAAAAATCCATAGATGTAAGGCAAACTCATACCTGGGATATGTCTATCTGATGAAGATCAATCCGACCTTTTTCATTTAGTCCAGATTTGAAAATGTTACCAGACAGAGAAGACCGGAAGTCTACTGCTGACTGCAAAATCTGTTGTATGTTGTGGGCAATTGGTTGGGTTTCCTCAGATAAGAAACATCTGCAACATACTTCGAAAATCAATCAAATTCACATAATGATATTCAGTACATAATTCTAAAGAGTGTTTGACAAACTAAAATGTTTCTGTTAGAAGCTTGACAAACCAAGGAAAAGTCCAAGAAGGTTGGCATATAACAAAAGAAACACAGGTATATTTTAGGTACAACCCCTCTCTTGGCTTCCTTTAGCCCTAGAAGCTCTTGCCTTTCAGATTTACTCCATTTTCTCTTCTTATCTAATCTTGTTCATGCTAAACGTTGTTGATTATCCTCATTTCTGCATTCTTATCTCAGGTTTTCAACCACTCCAGCAGCAGTTATTAGGCCTAAAACTAGTCTGCTGCAAAATCTATATGCATCTAGTAAGCACATTCAATCTCCAGTTCTTGTTTGTAGGGTTAATCAACTTAGTAAAGGAAGCTTGTCAGATCAAATTATAGCAGTGGTGTGCAGATTATTCATATATCTTCTGAAATATGCCTTTACAGCCATAAGTCATTTTAGAGGGATAAGAGAGAGACAGATATATGAACAAGCAAGCTAAGCTTACATATGTCGTGATTCATTAAGATATGCCATATGCACCAGCTCAAAGTCCATCATGTCTCTGACCTAAAAAGGACAGATGTAAGAAAGAGATTAAGACGTCGTCCAGTTTAGTAACAAATCTAGCAGGAATTGATAGTATTTGAGTATGCACAAAAAATTTCATTAGAAACTCACCACATGGCTCGATACTGAGAATTCAACTATATATAAGTTTGTACTGTTACGAAAGTAAAGAGAAGATTTCTGAATATGTTGTTCATTGAAAAGAGAATACACAATCCTATAAATACATGCTAGAAGACTTCTGATAATGAAATAAGTTTCCAAATGACTACCTATTCAAATCCCTATAAATCTTTAGGCTGCCAGCGGCCTAATATATATAGATCACATATTACTTATATATTCCATAAAACTCCCCCTCAAGTTGGAGCATAGATATTAATCATGTCCAACTTGTTACACAAATAACTAACTCAAAAAATAACTAACTCAAAAAATAACTAACTCAAATTCCATTTAGGATACTCCCCTTAACAAAAGCTTTGGACGCCACCAATACCATGGACAACCGGGTGAACTCAAAGTGGACCGAACAAGCCTAGGATTGGACACTCCCCCTGAAACGGAAGCTTGGCCACCACCAATACCACGGGCAAACACCAGGTGAACACAAAGTGGACCGAATAAGCTATGACTCACAAAGTGATCGAAGAAGACAAACTCCGAACCGGAAGACACAACTTCTTTACCAACGGAAGGGAAGCATGCCCCAAACGATAATGAGCATCAAAAGGGTGACAACACCGGATTAAGCAACGGACTCCAACTTAGCAAACTCAGATCGAGATTAAGACTGACTTAGAAGATGTATCAAACTTATTTGCAGCCATCCCAGGAGGAAAAAAAAAAAAAAGCAGATCACTAAGTACACAAAATTCAAGCTTGAATGTGTACTAGAGAAAAAGTGACTGTGGAGCAAAAAATCGGTGACAGCGCAATGGTCCAAACCAAGTCCAGATCCGAGGCAAACGGACTTAGGAACTTTTGTAATGGGTTGAAAGAAATTTGACTGCCTGAGTTTAATTCAGATCACAACATTTTACAATGAATATTGGAACCTTGTTGGTAGAATATTTTCAGACATCACTACATCAGATGTCCAGAGAAGAAGCAAAACAACAGAATTTGTTTTATTCCTTCAAATAATAGATAAAAGAATATCTTTGTGGAAAGCGATCAAATGAAAACATCAAGTAATGAATTAATTAATTAGAGACTTAAATTACAATATTTATAAGAGCACATTTGCTAGCTACCAGAGAACAGACATGATTCATCACCTCAGCCACTAAAGTGGAAATGTCTTGAATAAATGGCAAACAATTAATTCATTCATTGAACACCAATAGTACCGCCCATAGAGCAATGGCATGTTCAATACAACAAAAGTTGTTCAAATTCAGAACTTTTGAACAAAAATAAATGGGAATAAGTGAATCCAATATAGACTGGGATAGGAACTGTGGCAAACCTTGTGCTTAAGGGAGTGCATGAACCTGCACCAGGAAACATGGGATAATTGAGATTGTACATATTGCTGCACTGCAGATACAAAATGATTAAGCTGGTGCCTGAAATTTAACAAGGAAAACACATTGGAACATAGAACTTCCCTTGAAAATCATAAATTTAGTAAGAATGTGATATACAAACATCTCATCGCAGAGATAATTTCAGGTTGGGCAGTAGATTATAAGATCAACTTAGTTTTATGTATTCTCTAATGCTGCATCTTTAACACAAACACCATGCTCAAGATCAAAGTGGTGCATTGAAGGACATAGGCCAAAGGGCATCTTAAGCCCCTGTTACAAAGTTACTGAACAACATAAGTGATGGTTCCTTAGGTACAAGAAATCCTCTTAATACTCCTAAGTTCAATTTTCTGACAGATCATGGTGATCTCTTAAATCAGAAAAGAATGAGCTATTAGAATGAGGTAAGAAAATGTTATTCCTGAGTTAGCACTTGCAAGAAGGAATGAGTCGTAACATTAATCAATAGAAAACATTATGAAACCTTAACAAACAAAAAAAAAAAAAAAAAAAAAAAAAAAAACAAACAAACAAAAGAACAAAAAAAAAAAAAAAAAAAAACAAAAAACAAAAAACAAAAGGCAGAGCAGTCTATGATACATCTCTCTGTATGCAATTCTAGATAACACAAGCAATAATGATAGGAAACATACAAGGGACAAGACTCCTGAAATACCTGGTCTTAGTTAAGATAGATATCTGATCTGATTTCATATCTTGTGCCTCAAAATGACAATTCTTCTTGCACAATTCAGTGTGATTCTGACAACCCAGAAAAGAGAATTCACCAAAACTATAAGTGTCCAAGAAAAAAGTTTCCATGAACCCAGAAACAAAGGCAGACTAAGCAAGCAAGACTAGAAAGAAGAAATGTCTTGCAATGAATAGATTAAACATCATTATAAATATACTAAACTATAAATGTTCCAATTTGTGTCTTGTACTTTTCAATAAGTATGTGCAGCACCACAGGTTTCTGTCAGTGCCAATATAACAGACATGTCCATGCTCATGCAACTCAGTAATTTGGTTCACCAAGTCAAGCCCAAACTTGGTAGAGTTCAGTTTTTTGGTAGCATCAAGCACAGAAGCATATTGAAGCTCAAATATACAGAGAGGGAATATAGATCATTGAGCCAAGTCAATTTGAAGTCCTCACCTTTAGTGAGCTCCATGCATCACTTAAAGAAATAAGTGCAAGCTTGACTTGTATCAGAAAACTAAATATCTCTGAGTATATTTTCAATGCACCAGGGGTTAAAATGATACTGATTGGCCAATCCACTCGGTAACCCAAGCCAAGAAAATCAAAGGAGTGTATCCCTGCCACATATGATGAAAGTTACAAGCAGAGTTTAAAAAAACACACACACACACACACACACAAAGAAGTTGGCATTGCAGATACACGGAAAGAGTGAAAGTCACGAGTCATGACTAATATTTGAAAATGCATTGTACCATGAAATGGGCCTGTAGCCATAGCATCTTTCATGTACACATATAATCGATCTCTATTCAGGTCTCCTTCACACGAAGATCTCTGGACTGACAACTCAAGAACACCTTGAATATCTGATATCCTCTTTTCAGCCTCTAAGACATACCATTTCTGGGTTGAGAGAAAGAATCAGACAGAAAAGCATTAGAAGAGATGCAACAGAAGAAATGTAATGCTTAGAAAAGACAGTATGAATGATACAACATACATGACGCAGAAGAGATGTGATGAACAAATCTGCCCAGTCTGCTACTTCCATTAAATGGTACCTCCTTAGTGATAACAGATGTTCTTGCAATTCAAATCCTTTTTCAAACAACTTTATGGTCAACTTGCTCAGATACTTATATCTACTAATGTCAAGGAATCAACACATCAAGAGTTATAACTAAACAAGCAACAAAGGTAAAGTTAAATTGACTGGGGAAATTGAGATCACACAGAAATGTTGATACATTTTTTTTTTTGCTAGGGCCAAATAATATCATTTTATAGAATAAAGAATCAAAAAGGTAATAAAACCAACAAGAAAAAGTAAAGGCTGATTTACAGACAGAATTTGAATCTGCAGCTGTGAGCAAAGAATAGACAAGGATACTGAAGCAAAATCTCATCCAATAAGCACTTCTTGAGAATATAATCCAATGGAATCTCATTAACAGTCACCAAACTAGACCCATGATATCTAGCAGCTGCATTTGTTGTTATGTTAGAGCAACCAAGCAGACTGGCCCACTCACTCCCACCATTGGCATTTGCAAGTGATGAGACTTCTCTAGCATTAGTTTTTGAACTTACAGGTGAAGCATAAGAAAGCTTCCCCTTTTTCTCTGAGTTTTGGTGATCATGGCTTTCTCGATCAAGCAGATCACTTGTAGAAATGGCAGTAGTACCAGTACTATCAGTCAGAACTGGAAGTTCAGCTCCAAAATGTTGTGTTGTTCTATTATCCAACTTCTCTGTGTATAACTTACAAGGATCTCTTACAGATGTAAAGTCAAAACAGGATAAAGGTTCTTTTTGGTGCCATCTTTCTCCTGGACTGGACTTTGGCTTAAAAAGAGAACTTTTGGTCAAACTTGGGTTCATATTGAAAAAATTAGAATGGTACAGTCTCCACGAAGAAAAACTACTTGAATTTTGAAAAGTATCATCTTGGTACTGATGCTTGCTATCAGCCTTCTGTACTGAAGCACTTTTGTGTAGAATGGACTCACCACAATCCAACATTTCGGTCATCTGACTATCACCACTTACCTTCAATTTGTGAATAATTGTAAGGAATGAAAAATTTTCATTGTTCCTTTGGTCAATGTTAAAGGGATTTTTAAGAATGTGATCAGACAGCTGGCATCCAATTTCTGTACCTTTGGCCTCAGGAGCAAGTAATAAACTCTTCTCTTCTACAGTAGGGTCCAAAGCATGTTCACTCACAACCTTTCCAATGTGATAAATACCAGCAGCATAGCCAGAGTTATCTTTTCTTTCACATTTTTCACCCAGAAAAGGTTTTGAATTGCATGAAATCTCATCTTGGCGCAGCTTTTGCAATGAATCATTTGTAAAGAAACTCAAAGCAGAAAGATAACTTGGCTCCAGTCGCTTATCAGTAATATGAGTCAAATCCTCAGGCTCAGATTGCTCTTCAAAATTTTCTAAAGATGAGGATTCAGATAATTCCATGACATCTTCAGCATAGGAAAACTCATCATCTGTGGTAGATACTTCAGAAGCACCATCAGGCCTAAGAAACACATGTGCCAATGTGTTAACAGCAGTGAAATGACTCAATACATAAAAGTGAATAGTTAAAGAACATGGAAAATGTAAAACAGACTTAACAGTGACACAAAGGTTGTGAGACCTCATGCTGCCATACATGAACCCAGAACTGCAACTATAACTATGGTCAAAGTCACAAACCAGAAGGGATAGAGAACATCGATAAGCCCATTGGATCCTTAATTATACTTTGGTGTCCTTTGCCTTGTCCCATATTGGTGGGGCAGTCAATGAGGTGTGACAACTATTCAAGTTTGCAAGTTCAAAAGATTCAATCCTTGGTCACCTTTTGACAGCTCTCAAGAGACAAGGATTGAATGTCAAGAGAATGTAAATGCATTCATAATATATAGAGAGATGAAAAGTTAGATAAAAGCATGACAGATGTGCAGATAGGATATAAACAGATCCTCATGGTCCTGCGGCAGAGAGTCGTGTATCCTAAAGTGAAAAGTAAAAGCATTCACAACTTAGTGACTTACAATTCCTGAGTTTTTATTTCACTTGGAGGCATAATCAAGTTATCATCCAGTGCAATTAGTTCAGAAGACTTTAGACTCCTTCCACAGTTTGCATGTATTGCTTGAACTCCATATAGCAAAATCTGAGGAATAAAAAATTTTCCATACAATTAACCAAGAGGTGACTACACTAGTCCTCACTTTCAATAAATCTTTTATAATAGTGGTAGACTGGTATTACATGTAAAGAATAAAGTTAAAAGATGGCATTCAGCACTAACAATCTAGTTCTGTCAACAAGAAGGCACATAGAAAATAAAAGTACAAATTGCAGTATATGTCTGCACAAAGCTGGCATCCTCAAGATAATTGCAATTGGTTTGAGAAACAAAAAATCTACTGTACCTTACAACCATTGAAAAATGTTAAATGACACTTCCATCAAAGGTGTGCAACAGCAAACTCTCTCTTATTAAAGTATATATGATGAAAAGAGAACTGATAAGAAGTGCATAAGCAGAACTTTAAAACCTAAAATGCATGAGTGCAAAAAGAGGAGAACTGTTTTCTAGATTACTGAGCACACCGTGAAGACAAGAGTCTGAAAATTGAAAAGAGAAGACAAACTTTACAATATCAGTGGATCTGGTGCCCCTTTATTCTTTGGTAAGCACCAATGTCCTTTCAATACATTAAGATTTTATATGTTATCATAATTTTCAGAGAACTGCTCTTTTTTCTCTATTGATATCCCCTGGAGTGAAAGGTCAGAGACATGGATTCATTTAGAGTTTTAGACAAGTTGCATTCTTGTTATTGTGCATGTAATCATAGTATGTCTACACATCTTAATAATATATGCACAAATATTCAAAACTTTTTGCTTCTCTGTAGTAATTAGTAAATAGAAATTACCCCTTGAGATCTAAATTCAAATTTGGAAAAAATATTATCAATTTTTTCCAGTAACTGTAGGTAAAAACTGTTTCTTGCCAGCACGATTGCTTCAATTGTTCCTTTGTCAAATGTCAGTGATGAAGAAAAGCTAGGATATTTGCTTGAAAACCCATTACAACCAGGAAGAAACTCTTCGTAAGAACCATTTATTGCTCCAATATTATTGGATAACTCAAGCAACTTCATAATCACTTGAAGCTGTTGGCCTGCTCTGAAGAGCGGAATCAGAAAATCCTCTAAGAAGATAGGGACTGCAACTCCATCTCGTACCTGAGATATTGATTTGTTAATCAAAGGACTGATTTTAAAGGAACAAAGAAATATGGTAACACTGAAATTCGTAATCTAAAGCTTCTATGGAACAAGTGATAGCATTACCTTGACACTAGCTATTGGGAACTCATTACATGTTCCAGTGACATCCACAGCATGATCAGGTAGATCAACAAAAAGTTCCACTACAAACTCTTTGAAAGGATCATTGATCCTGCCTTCATAAATCCACGATCTAATAAATCCACAATATGGTTCCCAAGACCGGAGAAAGAGGAACTTGAGGAGAGCACAATGAGCAGGATCAGCAGCCTAGAGAGAAGTTTACATTGAAAAACTATTAGGTGGCAGACCCAAATAACAAGTGAAAGAATCTTGGAAATCATTCCCCACTAAAAATAAAAATAAAAAAGGTTTCTCTTATAGCATCTATCAAGGTATGACACCAACCTGTCAAGTTATTGTGACAACTTAAACTAGCAATTGTACCCTATGAAAAGATGTATGAGTAAGTACCACTATTCTGTCTCTGGTTAAAAACATTAAATTTATATATTTTGTCAAAGAAGCAATAGATTTGCCATTTGATCAAATCTTAACCCTCAACTTGCAATCCATAAGTGACAACAGAAGACAGGTGGTTTTTGTAGCAGGATACAACACAAATCATACACAATATACCCCTTTTGCTAAAAAGAAATAAATAAATAAATCTGTTAGGACAGATCTTGAAATCTGTTAGGACAGATCTTGATTTGTGCTTGACTATACCACTTGCAGTGTTATTTTTATTAGACAGAAAATACTCTTCTTTCCCTGCTTTAATGATGTTTGCAGACCTAGAAAGAAAACTAACATGTATCGCGTGCATATGTATAGAAGAAGGAAATTATGAGAAAAAGAAAATCTTTAGGGACAGGAGCAAGAGCACATAGATGGAGGACATAGCAGTTATGAAGAAGGATCATAATAAGGAAAAATAAACAAATTATGCCCTTGTTCATGTTCTGGTAGGTTATGGATAAAGCTCATTCCTTACACATAGATTACAAAAGTAATTAAAATTATTTTTTTTTAAATGTGTCCTGTTGATTTTAAAAAATTCTAGTATTATACTCTAGCAAAATTGGATCCTGGTATCCAAAATGCATGCACAAGCACTTCAAAGGTGTTTATTCATACTAAATAGATAAAATTGAACTACCGCACAACTCTAAGTCTCTAACCTTTAGCTGTAAGTATAAAAATGTTATCAGTGCACCACTTCTTGGGAAATTATGAATTTCTAGGTCAGCTTTAGCCATTAAGTCTTTCAAAGGCAATTGTGGAAAACAAAGAGCTAAATCACACAGATTGCAGATATTTCCAAGTGCTTCCATTTGAGCTCTTAAGCCCGTAGTGTGCAGATAAACCTCCAACACTGTGATCTCAGAATTACCAACACTTGTAAGGCAGCCTCCATCAGTAGCCTTGGAGCTGCGTCTTAAGCTCACAGATGAAAGCAAACTATTGAGTGCAGAGATGTAACCTTCTAAAACCTTTCCCACAGCAACTGCAAAAGCCTGATTAACAAGTGTATGATTTTTCAACTGGCAGCTGCCAGCTACATTTGAATTGTTGCCTAGAATTTCATCAGGTCCTGATCTACAATCTGCACTTGAACTTGTAAAATAGCAAACAAACTTGTGGATGAGAAAAATAATGCAACCAAAGCGCCCTATGGACTTCAGTAGATTTCCTAATGCCAAAGTGCTAGAACTCCTGGTCCACAAACTTGGAATGCAGTGAAACGATCTATCAGCTGACTCAGAGCAAAATAAATAGGAGAGTTCCCCAATTGATATTAAAGCTGATTCAACACCTTGCAAAGCATTCAATGCAAGCCTCACCAAGCTAGACTCCTGTAACATTCAGGAAAAAATAATTTTAAAAACCCAAAAAAAAAAAAAAAAAAAAAAAAGTCAGAAAAACTTGATTCAACAAAATTATGTAAGTATAGTTCAATTTTCAATTACAATGAAACACAAGGAAGGACTATGGCAATGTGAAGTTCAACTCAAAGCTTTGTTATCATAGACCTTATAATTCATTAGATGCAGATTTCAGATAGAGATTTAACCCTTCTTTTTAGTAGGTAATTTAAAAGAAAAGCAAGAGTCTTTATTGATTGTTACTTACCAGTACATTTACAATAGGAGAGAGTGGAATTCTTGGATCTCTTGGATCTCTTTTTGTGCTAGGAAAACAGAATTTTTTCTAATGTGGCAGTCACAAATATCCTGTAGTTTCGGGAATCTTTGTTCAGAGAAATACTCACTAGTCTTTTATTTCTGTGTTGGATTGTTGGTATCTGATGTTTATAGAAGACAAGAAATCCCTATAATATAATTTCATTATTTCATTCCTCTTCATCAACAAATCATGTTCTAGAAAATATGAAGAGCATTGGGCAAACAATAAAGTGAACCCCCACTCTTCGTAAGTTTTGTGTTGTTTTGTTAGTATCATGATAAATGGTTGCAGATAGTTTAATTTTTCAAATCTCCGTGTTTGAATATATGATTACTGAGTTCTTTTAGGTTTCCAGTCAAAATAATGATGGAAACATTCTTAGATATACATCTCATGTGGTGTTGTTTAATGTTTAGTGTGTTTGACTTGAAAGCAATGCAAGAATTCTTAAGGGGATACACATGCCTCCAGATGGACCAGACTAATGGTAGTAAAGCCGTTCCTTTTGCCTTCTACAGGGTAATGCAACAGTTTTTGAACAGCCATCTCATTAACAATGCTTGATAGCTATTAATCATTTTTTAAGACAAAGCATCATTAAGAATTGCTATTTCGTGTTCATCAATAAAATTTGTGTTCAACTCCAGAATTACCCCACAAAATCCAGTCAGCATTTCACTGGTTTCCCTGTCCACCTTCTTTTCAAGTTAAGGGAATAAAATTCTACTCTTTCATTACACCAAATGGACTGTTATGCGAAATGCATTGCTCATCAAGAGCTACACGCTCTATCATGCACTCCATACGCATCAATTTAGCATTGAAACAACTATAAAATAAAATGAATTTTAAAAAAAAAATGTGCAGTACTACTTACAGAGACTCCGGAGGTGGAGAAGATGTAACTTGAAGAATGTTCAGAGTGAAGCGACGACTGAGAAGGAAGGCCGCTTTCAGAAGGAATGGACTCCCAAGGTCTGGGCGGAAAGTAAGGATCTTCTACTTTGAGCTTCTCTAACAGCGACGCGATGCTAGCGTCCACCGCCATTTAATTCCGCCGTGAATTCCGTTTCGGCTCCTCCGATGGATCTTCCGGCGAACTCTGACCGCTTTTTGTGGGGAGTGAAAATTTTAACAGAAATTTTATAATTGCTTAATTTGCATTCTGGCAAGCATGATATTTTCGAAATGCGTATACGCCTCCTACCTGAGGGAACTCGAGGTACAGAAAGAATAGGGTTTTTACTGTAAGTACATACATTCATTCATAAATTCATCACTACAAGTGCATAAATTCAATACTCATTTTATATGTATATATAATATCTTTAATTCATCACTTACAGTATTTATATATGCAATTGACAATATAATTTGCAATTCAATCACAACAATTTGAACTTAGGCTATCCTCATCTCAACAATTTCTCTCACTTTCTAAAATGGATTCCATTTCCATATCATCAAATTTACAAATTATCTTCTTTTTTTGAAAGCAGGAATCGAATATTATTAATGAATATGCGTAACAATAAAATCATGAGGGACATTTTCCCACAGCATAGTAAAATCCTGAGCCGTATGTATGAGCAATAATATTTAAACGTCTAGGAATAAAGCATAAACAACAAGAAATAAACTGAGCCATAATGGCTTGACACTCACGAACAATAATACCGACATACGATCTAGGATGTAAATCAACTCTGGAGAGATAAGACTTAGTACCGAACAATCCGTGGATAGAGTTACCGTTGTAACTTGCCGATCCCTTAGTCAAGACAAAGCCTCTTTACAAGCGAGTGCTTCAGCCGTGATAGCATTCTCACACCATGGCAACCGCCCATTCATAGCCGCTACAAAAGCCTCCTTGGCCGTCCAAAAGAACCGCACCAAATGCCGCAGTCGATGTCGACGAACACCATGCCGCATTTACCTGACACTGCAGGCCAGTGGGCGCCGACTCCTGATGCTGCTGCTGATCTGTTACACACGGTCGAGAAGCCCTCCAAGCCGAGAGGGCTGCTTTGGCGCTCAACCACAAATGCTTGGGTGTCCTCATATACGCCTCCCATACCGCAGAGTTTCGTGCATTCCATAAGTGGTACAGAACTGCAACAACTTGAATAAGAACATCCGTGGTTAGCACAGTCATCGCATTCTGAAACCATTCAACAAATGATCCACCATGCACAGAAGAAATAATAAGGCAAGATTCATTCCAGACATGGCAAACATATTGACATTCTATCAAACAGTGCATAACGTCCTCATTAAAAACAAGACACATGGGACAGGCAAGATTCACATCAACTCTCCTACTAGCAAGAGCTGTTGTGGTTGGCAACACACCACTCAACGCTCTCCATAGGAACGTTTCCCACCTGGGGGGCACATCCAACTTCCATAATGCTGGCCATTTATCAAAAGCCGTATTATTTTGTATCTCCCCCACAATCAAGCGATATGCACTTTTAACATAATACAATCCATTATGCTCCTTATACCAATACCAAATATCCTCATAGTCCGGGCAGGCTGGCACCCTACGGATACGGTTCACACCCTGTGGGTCAAAAATATCATTTAAGATGTCCAGATCCCAAGTACGAGTATTCTGATCCATCAAACCTGTCACTTTCGACTCACAAATATTAGGTGGTAAATTAGTATGAATCTTATAATCCGAATCCAGAAGCCAGGGATCTTTACCAATTATAGTAGTCTCCCCATTCCCAATCCTCCTCCTTATTCCACCACACACTAGATCATGCGCAGCCATTATACTTCTCCAACAATAGCTAGGATTATTTCCTATGACAGCACTTCTAAAATTAGTTTTAGGGAAATACCTTGCCTTGTATACTTTTGCAACCAATGATTCTGGTTTGGTGAGAAAGCGCCAACCTTGTTTACCCAACATTGCAAGATTAAATGCTTTCAGATCCTTAAAGCTCAGACCCCCAACTGTTTTTGGCTTACTGAGTCGATCCCAAGCGATCCAATGTATTCCACCTGCACCACCCTTATTCCAATAATACCTATTCATAGTTCTCTGTATTGTCATGCAAAGGGAATCAGTTAACAAAAAGACACTCATTGAAAAAGTAGGCATATATTGGGCTACCGTTTTCAATAGGATCTCTTTGCCTGCCTGGGATAGTAATTTCTTATTCCATGAGCCTATCCGTTGTTGGATTTTTTTCCTCAATATATGCGAAAACCTGTCTCTTGTTCCTTCCAATAAAAGAAGGCAATCCCAAATATCTCCCAAAATCCACAGCCTGGGCAACCCCCAAAAACGCACTCACCTCCTCCCTTACATCCACACCTGAATTTTTGCTGAAACAAATACTGGACTTATGATAATTAATAGACTGACCAAACAGTTTCTCATAATGCTCCAAACATTGTTTCACTGCACTCACTTCCTGCACATTCGCCTTAAAGAATAAGAGGCTATCATCTGCAAAAAATAGATGAGAAATAGGCGGGGCACCGCGTGCTACTCTACACCCATGGATAGCTCCCATTCTAGTTGTTCTACATTCTTACAATATTTTTTCACTTTCTAAAATGGTATCATTTTCATATTATATTATAAATATAATAAAATAATAATAAAATAGCTCCCATTCTAGTTGTTCTACATTCTTACAATATTTTTTCACTTTCTAAAATGGTATCATTTTCATATTATATTATAAATATAATAAAATAATAATAAAATAACAAAAAGTCAAAAGGCTGCCAAAGCTTGCTATTTTAAGCCAGCTTTCAAACCATGTAGGATTAAAAATTAAAGCAAAATAAAAATAAAAACTTCATATCATCTTACACATCATTTTGCAATTGATCCACTTTCTGGGATAAGGACACTCTTATCACCCCAACTCATTACTAAACTAATTATTAATCCCTCAAGTTTTATCATTATTATTATACTCTAAGCAAGTAACATTAAAATTATCATTTTAAAGATAAATTTAACTAGGAAATGACAAATAAAAAGTCACATTTTTTTGTTAGATTAATCTCATATATGAAAGGAGATAAGAAATTCTGTAAGTAGCTCTCTTATATTTTTGGACATAACGAATTAAGAAATGATCAATGAATGCGTCGTTTGAAACCATATTATATATTATTTTAATAATAATTACTCCGTATATCCAAACGCACGAGCTTTCATTTTTTTTTTTTTTTCTCAAAATCCATGCAAAAATTAAGTCTTTAAACCAAAGATAGGCATGTTTCTTAGCATTATCCCCAAAAACAACATCAAATATAAATGCTGCATAAACAGCTTAGACATACAAACAAACATCAAACATTGTTCATTATTGTCTGCTGAAGCTTCATGGTAGGAATCAAGAAATAGCATAAGTTGTTAAGTGCATAAGTTGTTAAATGGAATCGAAGTTTCATATGGTTCAAGAAGGATTTGTGTCATCACTTTTGGTTGGGGAATTCCAAGCTTGCAACCACCCACTCACCATCCCTGATAGGAAGCAGAACAGTCCCTTTGGGCAAGGTCATATCTGGAATGTGATTATACACCTTGAACCTATTGCAGAGCAGATAGGTTTTCATTTCTGCTCTATGATCCACAACCGAATCGCTTTCTTTAGGCGAAAGATCATTGGAGTTTTCTTCCTTTACAGCAATAGTGGTCGCATTCAAGAGAGCAGCAAGTTCAACAACTTTGTTCTTATTATCTGAGGATCCTGGGGAATTGCCACTGGTCTGATGAGGTTTTCCTGAAATTAAGCACCAAGAATTGAAGCAATGTTAGTTAAAAACATCCTGGAAATATATATAGGTAGTGGGAAAACATGAATCTTAATTACCTTCCATTATCAAAGACATGTAAGCAACCTTTGCAGCATTATTCTCCGCCTGTTTCTTGGACTTTGCTGCAGTCCCATGGAAAACATCCCCATCAATTTCCACACTCGATAAAAATGTGAGATTATGATGATGTTTGCCAGACATTGTTGTCCTATATGCAGGCATGGCAAGTCCTTCGCTTTGTCCCAGTTCTTGCAAGAGGCTTTTGTAAGAACTCGTCGTGACGCTCTTGTTAAAGAAGAAATCCCAAAACACAACAAATTAAAGCAGTTAGATTGATATAAAGTCCTCTTGAATAAAGATCAAATATGTGAGATGCCAGGGTAAACCCAAGATGGCTTATACAAACTTGTAACCACAAGATTATGAGTTCAAATTTTAACCTTCTTAGTTTGAGCCAGCCAGTTATGAGCAACCTAGGCTGGTTTAACCTCTAGTGATCCTTTGCCGACGGCTATGGGACAATCTAGGCTGGTTTAACCCCTTGTATGTGTCCTTTGCCAACGGCTATGGGCAACCTAGGTTAGTTTAACCCTTTGCCGACGGCTAGGGGGCAATCTAGGCTGGTTTAACCCATTGTGATTCTTTGCTGACGGCTATGGGCAACCTATGCTGGTTTAAACCCTTGTGATCCTTTTCTGACGACTATGGGCAACCTAAGCTGGTTTAACCCCTTGTGATCCTTTGCCAGCTAGCCTTATAAGGCGGGTTTTATCCGGTGCACACCCTTGGTTTCTGGTCACTCCAAAATATGTGAGATGGTAAGGAGTATTTACCTTTTGAAAAGCAGCTGAGATGAGTGACATTAACGCGAAGCGAGCAGCATCTTCTTCTGCTTCCTTTGCAGTCTTATAACCCCCTAGACTTTTGAAGGATTCACCACTAAGTGAAACTGTAGCCTTGAAGCAAAGATCCTCCCTTTGAACACAATATGTTGGTAAACCCAGTTTCATTCTTTTCGCATAGGTCTGTAGCTTTTTTTTTGAATTGCTGTTCAGAATCTGCCACCACCAAGAAACTATTGATAATCAAGAAGCTAAGAGGATCACATGGAAAATGAAATTCACTAAGCACAGACGACATTAACAAATGATGGCATTTAATTTCAAGAACAGAAATGAAAGAAAGGGAGAAAATTAAACAGAAAGAGAAAAACACAGCCAAATGTTGATCGAATTGAAGTAATCTCAGAATTCATGAATTCTTTACCAGGATTAATGCCAACATCATCATCAGGTTTCTTGTGTGTTTCAGTAGTCTTTTGTTCTCCACTACCTACATACAATAATCATGTGAAAAGGACAACGTTAGACGACAAGGCTAATTAAGAATCAAAGACAAAAATGAACAGACCTGAAGAGAAGTAAAGGAAGGCAAGCTTGGCAGCTTGATTGTCAGCTTCTTTGCGGGATTTGCAGGGGGCGAGGGTGTCGAAATTGAGGCCATTGACAAGAACAGAAGCCTTGAACTGAGGGATATGGTCTGCTCCATCCTTCATGGATGTGTACCTCGGTGGTGCCCATTTCTTCCTATGACAAAACTCTTGCAGCTTCGACTTGTATATGTTGTTCTTCATCTCCTTTGGAAATTCAGGACTTGTCTGCTCCATCGATCTCCTGCAAATTAAAGGTTTGTGTGTTTGTGTGAATATATGAAGACAGACTGAAAGAGAAGTGATCGAATGGAAACTAGGTAGAAACAATAACAATGCATGGTAGCACAACATTCTTGTGTTCCAACTTTCCGTACTTCTGCAAACATTCTAGTAATGACAATATTCCATTTACAGCTGTAAATCTTGTTAGCAGAAATTAGAAAACGGCTCCATATATGGGGATAACGGAACACTTTTTAATCATAATTTTCAGGTCCATTGGAACCCAACGGTTAGGTTTTGATTTATTATTAAAAATTGATTAATTTTGTATTTTATAAATCAAATGGTTTCGATTTATATATATATATTGACCACTCAATTATATTCAATTATGACTGTATCTATTTTTTACCCCTTAATTATAAATGAAGTGACGAGTTTAGTCGTTGACATTAGAGTTGCGTTGACAAGTTAAATTCTAGGGGCAAATAAGTAAAATCCTAAATACCACCACCCTGCGTTCTAACTTCTAACCGCTATTCAACAATTTAGTCAAAATCATTTCCCCACAAAGTGAAGGTTTCAAAAATTCCTAAACCTGCAATGTAGTTTGGCGAAGACTTCCATGTCCATGCATGGCTTGTTTGGAAAAGAGAACAATGACTTCAAGAACATTTGATTTATATACGCAATTATGTGTGATGATTTGTTGGTTGATTGATTATCGGAATCGTTAGCCATGCCGGTGTCAGGTGCTAATCGTTCTCATTTACATACTATTCTTTTTTTTTTTTTTTTTTTTGAAAGTTACTGGCTCTATTACATTGTAGTATCTGTTCATATACTTTCTCAACCTACTGAAACACAAAGAACCAATAACGCCTCCACTGAGGCTTGAACTCATAATCTTCCAATTGGAAGTCCAACCCGGATACCATTAGACCACATAGTCCTGGTCATTTACATACTATTCTGTTAACTTAGTTTTATGCATTCCAAAATTTTAATATGAATATTAGTGAGACAACATTCAAAATATATGACATTCTGAATTTCTGAGGTCTCATTCAATGATAAAACAATGTAGAATTATCTAATGTTCTCTCTCCCTTGTATTGGAAGAGATTATAATATTATATACTTGAAAGCAATCCATATTGTTTTGTAGAAATTATGTGTAATGTAAGAGTAGCTCTATTACTTAGTTGATGTAAGATTCTTATTTTTCTTTTCTTAGTTGCATGGATTTCATATGAAAATCTAATAATGATAGTGTTAGGGTATAAATGGTTGTGTGTTTATAAGAGTCTTGTGTAGTTAGGCTTCGTTGATTATCAGTTGTCGGAGAAATAATGTTGTATTATAGGCGATAATGTTTCCCTTTTGGTCTTAATGTTTCTAGAAGAGTGGAAAGTTTGAACAATTATCCAGTCACCCTATTAGAGAGATTATTGTGGCTCCCTTTTTTGATATGCAATGTGTAGTGTAAATATCTATAATCGCCTACTTTGTAGAACTAGCATGTGGTGCAAGTATTATACTTCAGAACAAATTTACTTGCTTTTTTGAAAGAGGGAGTTCGTTGAACTATTTATGCCAAGCTTTGCATTCACAATTCTTTTTTCCTTATTTATTCTACGAAGTTTCAATGTGTATATTGCTTATAGAAAATTTTTGCAAATAACTTGTGTCTAATCAAAGTTTAAAAGCTATCTTTCAGATTTGTAAATTGTTGAATTTCTGTTTTTTAACAAAGAAATGGGTTTTGAAGATTTTTTGTTTAAAATTGATGTAGATGGAATGATTTTGGGCTCACTTTATTATTGGATTTGATGATTGTTCTGATGAAAAGTTGAAATATGTGGGTGCCTGCAGAAAGTTTGGATTGATAAGATGCTTCTGCTTCGAACACGGCACTATAAGAGAACCCTTGACACCAGTTACCAATTGTCCCCGCAACCTGCCTTGAAAACAGATTGTAAAAAAAAATAAAAAAATCCTTAAAAAAATCAGAATAAATAGCGAAAACACACAATAGACAAAACAACTACATAAAAATAAAGAGGCACAAATATATTGAAACACAACCTAAAAGAGTAAATTAACTACACAAGAACATTATTTCAAAATGCTCAATTCAACTAAAATTATGCCAAACAAAAGACACAAAAATAACGAAAAGTCAGAATAATTATTATAGACAAACAAAACACACACTTAAAAATGCTAAATTAAGAATAAAAAATAGACAACAACAAAAACATAAAACGCAACAGACAAAAATATAACACTTGAAAAATGTTAAATTAAGGAAAACAGCTAGCAATGTCAAAAATAATAAAACATACAGACTGCAATGTCCAAAATAATAAAAAAAATATGCAAAAAGAACGCTAACAAAACAATGAACCGGTAAAATGGAAATTAGTGCATGGGAAAAAAACACACAAACAAAACAAAACAAAATCATCTAGGAATACATTCAAAAGAAAAGGAACGAACAAAATCATCAAAAGCGAGAATAACTCATAAATGCATGAAAAACATTTAAAAAACCAAATTCAAGAAACAAAAAGTCAGAACAAAAATAGACAACATCGAAAACACATGAAACACATGTAAAACGCAACATACAAAAATATAACACTTGAAAAATAATTAAGGAAAACAGGTAGCAATGTCAAAAATAATAAAACATATGCGCAAAAAGAACGCTAAAACAATAAACCGAAAAAGAAAAAATTAAGGAAAACAGACTGCAATATCAAAAATAATAAAAAATATGCAAAAAGAACGCTAACAAAACAAACAAAACAAAACGAAATCATCCAGGAACACATTCAAAGAAAAACAGAACGAGCATAACAAAAGCAATATTTCAAAATGAAGCGAGAATAACCCGTAAATGCATGAAAAACATTTAAAAAACCAAATTCAAAAATACTCCTTAGAAAATAAACGAAATGAAAAATGCTATTAAGAATAAAATAGACAACAACGAAAACACATGTAAAACGAAAAATGCAATTAAGGAAAACAACTAGCCAAATGTCAAAAATAATAAAAAATATGTAAAAAGAACGCTAAAACAATAAACCGTTTCGTGCATGGGAAAAAAATACACAAACAAAACGAAACGAAAGAACTCCAAATCATCCAGGAACACATTCAAAGAAAAACAGAACGAACAAAATCAAAAGCACAAATATAATGAAGCGAGAATAACCCTAAAAATGCATGAAAAACATTGCAAAAACCAAATATTTCAAAAATACTCCTTAGAAAATAAACGAAACGAAAAGTCAGAACAAAAATAGACAACATCGAAAACACATGCAAAAAGAACGCTAAAACAATAAACCGGTAAAGAAAAAATAAAAACAGACTAGCAATGTCAAAAATAATATAAAATATGCAAAAAGAACGCTAACAAAAATAATGAACCGCAAACGGTAAAAATGGAAAATTAGTGCATGGGAAAAAAACAAAAGAACTTCAAATCATCCAGGAACACATTCAAAAAAATCAAAAGCACATTTATGTGATAATAATCCATAAATACATGAAAAACATTGAAAAAACCAAATATTTCAAAAATACTCCTCAGAAAACAAACGAAACGAAAAGTCAGAGTAATGCTAAATTAAGAAAAACAAAAACAGCTAGCAATGTCAAAAAATAATAATAATAAAAATATACAAAAAGAATGCTAAAACAATGAACCAGTAAAAAGGGAAAATTAGTGCTTGGAAAAAAACACACAAACAAAACAAAACGAAAAGAGAACTCCAAATCAAACAGACTAGCAATGTCAAAAATAATAAAAAAATAAAAAATATGTAAAAAGAACGCTAACAAAAACAATGAACCGGTAGAAATGGAAAATTAGTGGATGGGAAAAAAACACAAACCAAACAAAACGAAAAGAAACTCCAAATCATCCAGGAACACATTCAAAGAAAAATAGAACGAACAAAATCAAAAGCACAAATATAATGAAGCGAGAATACATAAAATGCATGAAAGACATTGGAAAAACCAAATATTTCAAAATACTCCTTAGAAAATAAACGAAACGAAAAGTCAAGAATAAAAATAGACAACATCGAAAACACAACGAAACGAAAAGTCAAGAATAAAAATAGACAACATCGAAAACACATGTAAAGAAAAACGCAACAGACAAATATACACTTGAAAAATGCTAAATTAAGAATTAAGAATAAAAAATAGACAACATCGAAAACACATGTAAAGAAAAACGCATAACACTTGAAAAATTCTAAATTAAGGAAAACAACTAGCAATGTCAAAAATAATAAAAAATATGCAAATGAACGCTAGCAAAAACAATGAACCGGTAAAAAGAGAAAATTAGTGCATGGAAAAAGACACACAAACAAAACAAAACAAAACGAAAAGAGAAACTACAAATCATCCAAGAACACATTAAAAGCACAAAATCAGAAGCGAGAATAAACACATTGAAAAATGTGTACAAAAGGCACAAATATATGCAAGGAACTATACAAGAAGGAAAACTAATGCATGGAAAAAAACAATAAGAACTTCAAGACATTTAGAAACACATTCAAAGCAAAAATATCACCTAAATGAACAGTACGAAAATAACCCTAAAGAAAAATGCTATAAATAAATACGTCATAACAAAAAACAAAATGAACAGTAAAAAGTGGGAAAAACCAAAAAACACACAGATATAACAAAACGAAATAACTCCAAGATAATTCAGAAACACATTCAAAGAAAAACGCAATGGATAAATATAACAAAGCAAAAATAGCAGCACAAAAATGCAGGGAAAACATAAAGAGAAAGAACCAAAAACTACACAAGAACACTTGAAAAATGTTATAAATAGAGAAACAACTAAATACATCATAAATACTTGTTAGTAAACAAATGAAAAATGCTATAAATAGGGAAACATACATCATAAATACTTGGTAGTAAAAAAATATAAGTGCTAAAATTATAAAATGATCAATGGAAATACACTATTCAAACTAAAAATATGCTAACGAACAAAATGAACAGTAAAAAGAGAAAATTTATGCATATGGACAAACAAAAAAAAAAACATGCAAAAATATAACGAAGCAACAAGACATAAACGCAATAGACAAATATAACAAAGCAAAAATAACCCAAAACTACACAAAATTATAAAATGATCTATAAAACTACACAATTCAAACAAAAAATACGCCGAAAGAAGCTAACAAAAACAAAATAAATAGTAAAAGGTGAAAATTACTGCATGGGAATAAAACAAAAAATACACAAATATAACAAAACGAAAAGAACTCCAAGACATTCAGGAACACAAAGAAAAACGCAAAGAACAAAAACAAAAGTCACAAACATAACAAAGCAAAAATAGCACAAAAATTCAGGAAAAACATAAAGTTAAAAAATCAAAAAACTACCCAAGAACACTTAAAAAATGCTATAGATTATGAAAAACAACCAAATACATCACAAACACTCCTTAGTATATATAAGTACTAAAATTATAAAATGATCATAGAAAATACACAATTCAAACTAAAAATATGTCAAAAGAACACTAACGAACAAAGTGAACGGTAAAAAGAGAAAATTTATGCATGGAAAAAACAAAAAATGCAAAAATATAACGAAACGAAAAGAACTACAAAACATTCGGGATTTAGGAACACATTCAAAGCAAAATGTAATGGACAAATATAACAAAGCAAAAATAACACAAAACTACACAAAATTATAAAGCGAACTATATAACTACACAATTCAAACAAAAAAAAATACATAAATGAACAGTAAAAGGAGAAAATTAATGCATGGGAAAAAAAAAAAAAAACACACAAATGTAACGAAACGAAAAGAACTCGAAGACATTTAAGAACACATTCAAACAAAAATGCAATGGACAAAAACAAAAATCACAAATATAACAAAGCAAAAATAGCACAAAAATGCAAGGAAAACATATGTATGTAATTTGTAAAGCATACCATCATATACAAATACACAATCATATGTATTCCCCTCCCCTTTCTTCCCAGTCCAAAACAAAACAAACACAGAAAAAATAAAAACTTAGAAAGGGAGATAAGAAACCGAAAAATTTACCTGCTCACTGCAATCCTTCTCAACCTTCCCTTATTCCTAGCAATGCTTGATGTGAATATTCTCGAGCTATAAATTCTGTTCTAGTCGAAAAATTGTTAGATAAATGCAATTGAAATCCGTAATAAGGTACTGGATAATCTATTTATATTGGAAGAGTTGGGAGCAACATGTTGAAAAGCACTTACAAAGCCGATGTGATACCTTGTGGTTAGGTGCTTAGGTCAGCCCTGTTACGTGGTGGTTGCTAATGTGATGGTTGATGGCGGATCCTCCTTGCGTAGATATTAAGCCTCTGTGAAAAGAATGATCGAGAACAAACCTACAATACTTGAATTTTCAGGTTAGTAAAACTGAAGTGCATTATAACTCCATCACGGATTAAGAGAATACAAATATAGAAGAAACTAATCATGATGAGGAACAGTGTATAGACATTCTCTTGGGGCAATTCAATCAATTATTTTACCTGTCAGAAGGTGGGTAATTTCTTTCTTTACACTGCAATTTATGGCTTCATCTTTCAATCAGCCCACTTTAACTTTCACTTTTCCTCTTTGTTGAGCTTTATTTTTTTGCAGCAAATGCATTCATTCGTCTCTGAAATGGAAAAAATATTTACAGTGCATTCAATTATAGATTCATGGCTGCAACATTTTTACCCTCCAAATTCAATGTCCTAGGATTGGCGCGGGAAAGTGTTTGATATGGAGAGAACGCCAAAAAAATATAGAAATAGTAAACATAAACTGCAAGGGAATAGGAAACCAACCCTAATAATGAATGAAAACTCATTCGATAATTAAGGAAAACAGACTAAATACGTCGAAAATACTCATCAGAAAATTTAAAAAAAAAATCACTATTCCTAATAAAAATACCTTCAAAATTTACAAGTACTAAATTATAAAATGATCTTTGGCAAAAGACAACTCAAACTAAAAATATGCAAAAAGAAAGCTAACAAAAAAAAAATGAACGGTAAAAAGGAGTAATTAATGCATGGGAGAAAATAAAAAATACACATAACAAAAAGAACTCCAAGATATTCAAGAACACATTAAAAGAAAAACGCTACGGACAACTAAAACTACACAAGTACACTTGAAAAGTGCTATAAATTAAGGAAAACAGACTAACAACATCGAAATTAATTCATCTTTAGCAAATAAATAAAAGAATTCACTATTCCTATTGGAAATACCTTTAAAATTTATGTACTGAATTTCAAAACAATACTTAGAACTACCCAATTCAAACAAAAAATATATGACAAAAAGAACGCTAACAAAAACAATGCACGGTAAAAAGGTAAATTAATACATGGAGAAAAAACACACAAATATAACAGAACGAAAAGAATCCAAGATGTTCAGGAATGCATTCAAAGAAAACAAAACGAACAAAATCAAAAGCACAAATATAATGAATTGAGAATAACCCATAAATGCATGAAAAACATAAAGAGAAATCTAAAAACTACACAACAATACTCGAAAAATGCTATAAATTTGAAAATACTCCCTGGAAAATAAAAATACATATATAACAAAACAAAAAGAACTCCCAAAACATAACACAAAACAAAAATAAAAAATAAAAAACATTCAGGAACACATTCAAAGCAAAAATGTCACCCAAAATTACACAAGAACACTTGAAAAATGCAATAAACAAAGGAAAACGCACTAAATACATCCTAACAAAAACAAAATGACCAACAATAAAAGGGGAAAATTAATGCATGGAAAAAACAAAAAACTCACAAATATAACAAAACGAAAAGAACTCCAAGAAATTCAAGTATTGAATTATAAAACAATCTTTGTAAATACACAATTCAAACAAAAAAATGCCGAAATAACGCTAACAAAAAAAAGTAGTAAAAGGAGGAAATTAATGAATAAAAAAAAAAAAAACAAAAAACACACAAATATAACGAAATGAAAAGAACTCCAAAACATTCTAAGAAACACATTCAAAGAAAAACGAAATGGACAAAAACAAAAGTCACTAATAAAATAAAGCAAAAATAGCACATAAATGCAAAGAAAACATAAAAAGAAAGAACAAAAAAACTACACAAAACACTTGAAAATGATATAAATTATGAAGAACAACTAAATACATCATCAATACTCAGTAAATAAATGAATTTACTAAAATTATAAAGTGATCATTCGGTTTACACAATTCAAACAAAATTAACTAAACCCTGAAATTATAAAATTATAAAATATTTACACAATTCAAACAAAAAATACGCGAAAAGAACACAAACAAAAACAAAATGAACAGTAAAATGGGTAAATTAATGCATGGGAAAAAACAAAAAACACACAAATATAACAAAATGAAAAGAACTACTAAACATTCATGAACACATTCAAAGAAAAACACAGTGGACAAAAACAAAAATCACAAATATAACAAAGCAAAAATAGCACAAAAATACAATAAAAACACATGTATGTAAAGCATAACATCATATATGTAAAGCATAACATCATATACAAATACACAATCAATTGGATTGAAGAAAACACCTTTTTAAGTCACTACCCCTTATTCCCAGTCCAAAACAAAACAAACACAGAAAAAATAAAAACTTAGAAAGGGCGATAAGAAATCGAAAAATTTACCTGCTTACTCCCATCCTTCTTAACCTTCCTTATTCCAAACAATGCTTGATGTGAATATCCTCGAGCTACGGATACTCTGTTCTAGTCGGTAAATTGTTAGATAAATGAAATTAAAATCCCTAATAAAATAGTGAAGTATTCTATTAATATTGAAAGAGTGGAGAGAAACATGTCGAAAAGCATTTACAAAGCAGATGTGGTACCTTGTGGTTAGGTTTTCAGCCCAGTCCTGTTACGTGGTGGTTGCTAATGTGATGGTTGATAGCGGATCTAACTTCTTACACTGACACTAACAGTGTTCAACCTGAGAAAAGACCTGCAATACTTGAATTTTGAGGTTAGTAAAACTGTAAATTTGCACTATAACCCCATCACGGAGTATTTAAGAGAATACAAATATAAAAGAAACTAATCATGAAGAGGAACCACTATAGGCATTCTCAATTATTTTACCTGTCAGAACGTGGGAAATTTCTTTCTTTACACTGCAATTATGGCTTCATCTTTCAATGAGTCCACTTTACCTTTCACTTTTCCTCTTTGTTGAGCTTTATTTTCAGCAAATACATTCATTTGTCTCTGAAATGGAAAAAAAATTACAGTGTACTCAATTAAAAGATAACCACACAAGCGAGAGAGCAACTCACAACGGAATAAAAACTAGCGACTGTTCTCCCCCAATCATAGAGATTCATGGCTGCAACATTTTTACCCTCCAAATCATACTTTAGGATGCCGGCAATAACCGGACAAAAACAACGAAAAGAAAATAAATCAGAATTACACAAGAACACTTAAAAAGTGCTATAAATTAAGGAAAGCAGACTAACAACATCGAAATTAATCCTTAGTAAATAAAAGAATTCAATATTCCTAATGAAAATACCTTTAAAAGTTATTTACTGAATTTCAAAACAATATTTGGAACTACCCAATTCAAACAAAAAATATGCCGAAAGAACGCTAACAAAAACAATGAACAATGTTGAAATTAATCCTTAGAAAATAAAAGAATTTACTATTCCTAATGAAAACACCTTTAAAACATATTTACTGAATTTCAAAACGATATTTGCCCAATTCAAACAAAAAATATGCCAAAAGAACGCTAACAAAAACAATGAATGGTAAAAGGAAAAATTAATACATGAGGAAAAACACACAAATATAACAAAACGAAAAGAACTCCAAGACATCCAGGAACACATTCAAAGAAAAACAGAACGAACAAAAACAAAAGCACAAATATAATTAAGCGAGAATAACACATAAATGCATAAAAGAAATAAAGAGAAAATAAAAAACTACACAATCACACTCGAAAAATGCTATAAATTAAGAGAAACAAACTAAATATTTCAAAAGTACTCCTTAGAAAATAAACACATTGGAAAAAAAACACAAATATAATGAAACGAAAAGAACTCCAAGACATCCAGGAACACATTCAAAAATACACACAAATATAACCAACAAACAAAGAGAACTCCAAGACATCCAGGAACACATTCAAAGAAAACTAGAACGAACAAAATCAAAAGCACAAATATAATGAAGCGAGAATAACCCATAAATGCATGAAGGACATAAAGAGAAAATCAAAAGCTACACAATAACACTCGAACAATGCTATAAATTAAGAGAAACTAAATATTTCAAAAATATCCCTTAGAAAATAAACACATTGGAAAAAAAAACACAAATATAATGAAACGAAAAGAACTCCAAGACATCCAGGAACACATTCAAAGAAAAACAGAACGAATAAAATCAAGAAAAAAAAAAACACAAATATAATGAAACGAAAAGAACTCCAAGACATCCAGGAACACATTCAAAAAATACACACAAATAAAAGAGAAATCCAAGGCATCCAGGAACACATTCAAAAAATACACACAAATATAACCAAACAAAGAGAACTCCAAGGCATCCAGGAATACATTAGAAGAAAAACAGAACGAACAAAATCAAAAGCAGAAATATAATGAAGCGAGAATAACCCATAAATGCATGAAGGACATAAAGAGAAAATCAAAAGCTACACAATAACACTCGAAAAATGCTATAAATTAAGAGAAATTAAATATTTCAAAAATATTCCTTAGAAAATAAATACATTGGAAAAAAAAAAAAACACAAATATAATGAAACGAAAAGAACTCCAAGACATCCAGGAACACATTCAAAAAATACACACAAGTATAACCAAACAAAGAGAACTCCAAGACTTCCAAGAACACATTCAAAGAAAAACAGAACGAAAAAAATCATAAGCACAAATATAATGAAGCGAAAATAACCCATAAATGCATGCAAGACATAAAGAGAATATCAAAAACTACACAATAACACTCAAAAAATGCTATAAATAAAGAGAAACAAACTAAATATTTCAAAAATACCCCTTAGAAAAATAAACACAAATATAATGAAACGAAAAGAACTCCAAGACATCCAGGAACACATTCAAAAAATACACACAAGTATAACCAAACAAAGAGAACTCCAAGACATTCAGGAACACATTCAAAGAAAAACAGAACGAACAAAATCAAGAAAAAAAACACAAATATAATGAAATGAAAAGAACTCCAAGACATCCAGGAACACATTCAAAAAATACACACAAATATAACCAACAAACAAAGAGAACTCCAAGACATCCAGGAACACATTCAAAGAAAACTAGAACGAACAAAATCAAAAGCACAAATATAATGAAGCGAGAATAACCCATAAATGCATGAAAGACATACAGAGAAAATCAAAAGCTACACAATAACACTCGAAAAATGCTATAAATTAAGAGAAACTAAATATTTCAAAAATATTCCTTAGAAAATAAACACATTGGAAAAAAACACAAATATAATGAAACGAAAAGAACTCCAAGACATCCAGGAACACATTCAAAAAACACACAAATATAACCAAACAAAGAGAACTCCAAGACTTCCAGGAACACATTCAAAGAAAAACAGAACGAACAAAATCATAAGCACAAATATAAGGAAGCGAGAATAACCCATAAATGCATACAAGACATAAAGAGAATATAAAAAACTACACAATAACACTCAAAAAATGCTATAAATAAAGAAAAACAAACTAAATATTTAAAAAATACTCCTTAGAAAATAAACACATTGGAAAAAAAAAAAACACACAAATATAATGAAACGAAAAGAACTCCAAGACATCCAAGAACACATTCAAAAAATACACACAAATTTTAACAAAACAAAGAGAACTCCCAAGAAATTTAAGAACACATTGAATGAAAAACACAACAGACGAAAAATGCAAGGAACCAAAATCTAAACAAGAACACTTAAAAAATGCTATAAATTAAAGAAAACATACTAAATACATCAAAAATACTGCTTATAAAATAAAAGAATTCACTATTCCTAATAAAAATGATCTTTAGAAATGCACAACTCAAACTAAAAAAATACGTCAAAAGAATGCTAACAACAAAAAATATGAACGCTAACAACAAAAAATATGAACGGTAAAAAAAAAGAAAATTAATGCATGAAAAAAAAAATAAAAAATACACAAACATAACAAAGCAAAAATAACTTCCACGGAACACATTCAAAGCAAAACGTCATAGACAAAGATAACGAAGTAAAAATATCACCCAAAACTACACAAGAACACTTGAAAAAGACTATAAATAAAGGAAAACGCACTAAATACGTCATAACAAAAACAAAATGAAATGAACAGTAAAAGGAGGAAATTAATGCAAACAAAAAACACACAAATATAACGAAACGAAAAGAACTCTCAAGACATTCAGAAACACATTCTAAGAAAAGCCCAATGGACAAAAACAAGTCACAAATATAACAAAGCAAAAACAGCACAAAAATGCAAGGAAAACATAAAGAAAAAGAACCAAAAACTACACAAGAACACTAGAAAAATGCTACAAACTAAGGAAAATAACTAAATACATCATAGAAACTTTTAGTAAAATGATCATTGAAAATAGACATTTCAAACTAAAAATATACTAAAAGAACGCAAACGAACAAAATGAGCGGTGAAAAGAGGAAATTTATGCATGGGAAAAAATAAGAAATGCAAAAATATAACAAAGCTAAAAGAACTCCAAAACATTCAAGAACACATTCAAAGCAAAACGCAACAGACAAATATAACAAAGTAAAAATAACCCAAAACTACACGAACACTTAAAAATGCTATAAATTAAAGAAAACATATAATATAAATATTTTATTATAAAGCGATTTATAGAACTACACAATTCAAACAAAAAATACGCCGAAAGAACGCTAAAAATATGAACAGTAAAGGAGGGAAATTAATGCATGGTAAAAAACAAGACATTCAAGAACACATTCAAAAAAAAAACACAATGGACAAAACAAGTTACAAACATAACAAATCGAAAATAGCACAGAAATGCATAGAAAACATAAAACAGTAAAAGGGGGAAAGTAATGCATGGTAAAAAACAAGACATTCAGGAACACATTCAAAGAAAAACACAATGGACAAAACAAGTCACAAACATAACAAATCGAAAATAGCACAGAAATGCAAACATAAAGTAAAAAAACCAAAAACTACACAAGAACACTTGAAAACATACTAAATACGTCGAAAACACTACATTGAAAATAAAAAGTATTTAAAAAATATAAGTGTATAGAATGTTCATGTTGATGATATTATTATTTTCAATAACAACCAATGGCAATTAGCCCTATAAAACAAACAACAAAGATTACTACCATTAAAAGATAACCACACAAGAGAGAGCAACTCACAAAATAGAACAAACGAGTGATTCTATCTCCCCCAATCATAGATTCATGGCCGCAACATTTTTACCCTCCAAATCCTACTTTAGGGTGCCGCGGCATTAACCTGAAATTCTATTGTCTGGAATGTTCAAGTTGATTTTTATTTTCAATAACCATAAATCATAGAGAATTAATGGGAGAAGGTCATTTACCAGTTAAATTCTTATCAGTTTGTAGTTCCTCAAGCTCTCTATTTTTACCTACCAACCTTCACTTCAACCTGATCAATTATGTATGTAAAGCATAACATCATATACAAATACACAATCAATTGGATTGAACAAAACACCTCTTAAGTGAGACCTATTCCACTACCCCATCTTCCCGGTCGAAAACGAAAACAAAAACAAACACACACAAAATAATAACTTATAAAGGGAGATAAGAAAACGAAAAATTTACCTGCTTACTCCAATCCTTCTCAACCTTCCCTAATTCCAAACAATACTTGACGTGAATATCCTCAAGCTAGGGATATACTCTGTTCTAGTCGGTAAATTGTTAGATAAATGAAATTGAAATCCCTCATAAGCTAATGGAGTACTCTATTTCTATTGGAAGAGTGAGGACCAACATGTTCAAAAGCATTTAAAAAGCCAATGTGATACCTTGTGGTTAGGTGCTCAGGTCAGCCCTGTTACGTGGTGGTTGCCAGTGTGATGGGTGATGGTTGATGGCAGATCTAACTTCTTACACTAACAGTGTTCAACCTCCATGTAGATATTAAACCTCTGTGAAAAGAGTGATCGAGAACAGACCTACACAATACTTGAATTTTCAGGCTAGTAAAACTGTAAAAGTGCACTATAACCCCATCACGGAGTATTAATAGAATACAAATATAGAAGAAAATAATCATGATGAGGAACAGTGTATAGGCATTCTCATGGGGCAATTAATCAATTATTTTACCTGTCAGAAGGTGGGTAATTTCTTTCTTTACACTGCAGTTTATGGCTTCATCTTTCAATGAGTCCACTTTTTTCACTTAACCACACGAGAGAGCAACTCACAATGGAACAAACCAGTGACTCTGCCTCCCCCAACCATAGAGCTTCATGGCTGCAACATTTTTACCCTCCAAATCCAACTTTAGCCTTTAATACAACCTGATCAATTATATAAAGCAGAATATCATATACAAATATGCAATAAACTGGATTTAAGAAAACACCTATTTAAGTGACCTATTCCACTGCCCCTTCTTTCCCAGCCCAAAACAAAACAAAAACAAAAATTATAACTTATAAACCAGGATAAGAAACCACAACATTTAACTGCTTACCGCAATCCTTCTCAACCTCAAGCTAGGGATTCTCTGTTGTAGTTGGTCAGTACAGTTTAGTGCTGGGAAAAAACAAAAGACACACAAATATAACGAAATGAGAAGAACTACAAAACATTCATGAACACATTAAAAGAAAAACACAGTGGACAAAAACAAAAATCACAAATATAACAAAGTAAAAATAGCACAAAAATACAAGGAAAACATATGTATGTAAAGCATAACATCATATACAAATACACAATCAATTGGATTGAAGAAAACACCTCTTAAGTGACCTATTCCACTACCCCTTCTTCCCAGTCCAAAACAAAACAAACACAGAAAAAAATAAAAACTTAGGGCGATAAGAAATCGAAAAATTTACCTGCTTACTCCCATCCTTCTCAACCTTTCCTTTATTCCAAACAATGCTTAATGTGATTATCCTCGAGCTACGGATACTCTGTTCTAGTCGGTAAATTGTTAGATAAATGATATTGAAATCCCTAATAAGCTAGTGAAGTATTCTATTTATATTGGAAGAGTGGAGAGAAACATGTTGAAAAGCATATACAAAGCCGATGTGGTACCTTGTGGTTAGGTGCTCAGCCCAGTCCTGTTACTTGGTGGTTGCTAATGTGATGGTTGATAGCGGATCTAACTTCTTACACTAACAGTGTTCAACCTCTGAGAAAAGACCAACAATACTTGAATTTTCAGGTTAGTAGAACTGTAAAATTGCACTATAACCCCATCACGGAGTATTAAGAGAATACAAATATAGAAGAAACTAATCATGAAGAGGAACCACTATAGGCATTCACAATTATTTTACCTGTCAGAAGGTGGGTAATTTCTTTCTTTACACTGCAATTATGGCTTCATCTTTCAATGGGAGTCCACTTTACCTTTCGCTTTTCCTCTTTGTTGAGCTTTATTTTCAGCAAATGCATTCATTTGTCTCTGAAATGGAAAAAAAATTCCAGTGTACTGAAAATTAAAAGATAACCACACAAGAGAGAGTAACTAACAACGGAATAAAAACCAGCGACTGTTCTCCCCCAATTATAGATTCATGGCTGCAACATTTTTACGCTCCATATCCTACTTTAGGGTGCCGGCATTAACCGGACAAAAACAACGAAAAGAAAATAAACAAGAATTAAACAAGACACTTGAAAACAGACTAACATCTAAATTAATCCTTAGTAAATAAAAGAATTCACTATTCCTAATGGAAATACCTTTAAAAGTTATTTACTGAATTGCAAAACAATATTTGGAACTACCCAATCCAAGACATCCAGGAACACATTCAAATTCAAAAAATACACACAAATTTTAACAAAACAAAGAGAACTCCCAAGAAATTCAAGAACACATTGAATGAAAAACACAACAGACAAAAGCTAAAGGCTTCAAATATATCAAAACGAAAAACACCCAAAAAGTGCAAGGAACCAAAAACTACACAAGAACACTTGAAAAATGCTATAAATTAAAGAAAACACACAAAATATGTCAAAAATAATACTTATAAAATAAAAGAATTCACTATTCCTAAAAAAAAAATGATCTTTAGAAATGCACAATTCAAACTAAAAATGCGCCAGAAGAACGCTAACAACAAAAAATATGAACGGTAAAAAAGGGAAATTAATGCATGGAAAAAAGAAACAAAAAATACACAAACATAACGAAGCGAAAATAACTTACAAGGAACACATTCAAAGCAAAACGTCATGTACAAAGATAACAAAGCAAAAATATCACCCAAAACTACACAAGAACACTTGAAAAATGCTATAAATAAAGGAAAACGCACTAAATACATCATAACAAAAACAAAATGAACAGTAGAAGGGGTAAATTAATGCAAACAAAAAACACACAAATATAACGAAACGAAAAGAATTCCCAAGACATTCAGAAACACATTCTAAGAAAAGCACAATGGATAAAAAACAAGTCACAAATATAACAAAGCAAAATTAGCACAAAAATGCAAGGAAAACATAAAGAGAAAACCAAAAACTACACAAGAACAATTGAAAAATGCTGTAAACTAAGGAAAACAACTAAATACATCATAAATACTCTTAGTAAAATGATCATTGGAAATACACATTTCAAACTACAAATATGCCAAAAGAACGCAAACGAACAAAATGAGCGGTAAAAAGAGGAAATTTATGCATGGGAAAAAACAAAAAATGCAAAAATATAACAAAGTGAAAAGAACTCCAAGACATTCAAGAACACATTCAAAGCAAAACGCAACAGACAAATATAACAAAGTAAAAATAACCCAAAACTACACAAGAACACTTGAAAATGCTATAAAAATTAAAGAAAACATATAATATAAATATTTAATTATAAAACGATTTATAGAACTACACAATTCAAACAAAAAATACGCAGAAAGAACACTAAAAAAATGAACAGTAAAGGGGGGAAATTAATGCATGGTAAAAAACAAGACATTCAGGAACAAAATTCAAAGAAAAACGCAATGGACAAAAAAACAAAACAAGTCACAAACATAACAAACCGAAAATAACACAAAAATGCAGGGACATAAAGAGAAAGAAACAAAAACTACACAATAACACTTGAAAACATACTAAATACGTCGAAAATACTACATTGAAAATTAAAAGGATTTAAAAAATATAAGTGTTTGGAATGTTCATGTTGATGATTATTATTATTATCAATAACCAATGAGTAAATAATAGAATCTAGCCCTATACAACAAACATCAAAGATTACGACCATGATCCGAATAGAAGTTCAAATTCATTAATCATATAGAATTAATGAGAGAAGGTCATTTACCTGTTGTATTCTATATCAGATTGTAATTCCTCAAGCTCCCTATTGTTACCTCCCACTTAACCTTCACTTCAACCTGATCAATTATGTATGTAAAGCATAACATCATATACAAATACACAATCAATTGGATTGAACAAAACACCTCTTAAGTGACCTATTCCACTACCCCTTCTTCCAGGTCCCAAAACAAAACAAACACAGAAAAAATAATAACTTATAAAGGGAGATAAGAAACCGAAAAATTTACCAGCATACTCCAATCCATCTCAACCTTCCCTTATTCCAAACAATGCTTGATGTGAATATCATCGAGCTAGGGATATACTCTGTTCTAGTCGGTAAATTGTTAGATAAATGAAATTGAAATCCCTAATAAGCTAATGGAGTATTTTATTTATATTGGAAGACTGCGGAGCAATATGTTCAAATGAATTTTAAAATCCGATGTGATACCTTGTGGTTAGGTGCTCAGGTCAGCCCTGTTACGAGGTGGTTGATGGCATATCTAACTTCTTACACAAACAGTGTTCAACCTCCATGTAGATATTAAACCTCTGTGAAAAGAGTGATCGAGAACAGACTTACACAATACTTGAATTTTCAGATTAGTAAAACTGTAAAAGTGCACTATAACCCGATCACGGAGTATTAAGAGAATACAAATATAGAAGAAACTAATCATTTTTACCCTCCAAATGCTACTTTAGCCTTTAATACAACCTGATCAATTATCATATACAAATATGCAATCAACTGGATTTAAGAAAACACCTATTTAAGTGGCCTATTCCACTGCCCCTTCTTTTTCAGCCCAAAACAAAACAAACACAGAAAAATAAAAACTTAAAAAGCAGGATAATAAACCACAACATTTAACTGCTTACCCCAATCCTTCTCAACCGGAAGCTAGGGATTCTCTGTTGTAGTTGGCCAGTACAGTTTAGTGCTGGTTGCAAATGTGATGGTTGGTTGAATGATGGCCGATCTAACTTCTTACACTAACAACGTTCAATCTCCTTGTATAGATATTAAACATCTGTGACAAGAAGTGATCGAGAACAGACCTACAATACTTGAATTTTAAGGTTAGTAAAAGTGCACAATGCACTATAGCCCCATCACGAAGTATTATGAAAAAATAAATAAATTTGTAAGAGAATACAAATAGAGAAGTTAATCATGAAGAGGAACAGTGTATAGGCAATTCTCTTGGGCCAATTAATCAATAACTTTACCAGTCAGAAGGTGGGTAATTTCTTTCTTTACATTGTAGTTTATCGCTTTATCTCTTCATGAGTCCACTTTGCCTTTCACGTTTCCTCTTTGTTGAGCTTTATTTTCAGCAAATGCATTCTCATTAGTCTCTGAAATGGGGAAAAAAAAATTACAGTGTACTCAATTAAAAGATAACCACACAACTACACAAGAGAGAGCAACTCACAAAATGGAACAAACTAATGACTCTATCTCCCCCCAATCATAGATTCATGGCCGCAACATTTTTACCCTCCAAATCCTACTTTAGGGTGCCGCGGCATTAACCTGAAATTCCATTGTCTGGAATGTTCAAGTTGATTTTTATTTTCAATAACCATTAATCATAGAGAATTAATGACAGAAGGTCATTTACCTGTTATATTCTTATCAGTTTGTAATTCCTCAAGCTCTCTATTTTTACCTACCACTTAAACCTTCACTTCAACCTGATCAATTATGTATGTAAAGCATAACATCATATACAAATACACAATCAATTGGATTGAACAAAACACCTCTTAAGTGACCAATTCCACTACCACTTCTTCCCGGTCCAAAACAAAAACAAACACAACAAAAATAATAACTTATAAAGGGAGATAAGAAACCGAAAAATTTACCTGCTTACTCCAATCCTTCTTAACCTTCCCTTATTCCAAACAATGCTTGATGTGAATATCCTCCAGCTAGGGATATACTCTGTTCTAGTCGGTAAATTGTTAGATAAATGAAATTGAAATCCCTAATAAGCTAATGGAGTATTCTATTTATATTGGAAGAGTGCGGAGCAACATGTTGAAAAGCATTTAAAAAGCCGATGTGATACCTTGTTGTTAGATGCTCAGGTCAGCCTTGTTACGTGGTGGTAGTTAGTGTGATGGTTGATGGCAGATCTAACTTCTTACACTAACAGTGTTCAACCTCCATGTAGATATTAAACCTCTGTGAAAAGAGTGATCGAGAACAGACCTACACAATACTTGAATTTTCAGGTTAGTAAAACTGTAAAAGTACACTATAACCCCATCACGGAGTATTAAGAGAATACAAATATAGAAGAAACTAATCATTTTTACCCTCCAAATGCTACTTTAGCCATTAATACAACCTTATCAATCATATAAAGCAGAACATCATATACAAATATGCAATCAACTGGATTTACGAAAACACCTATTTAAGTGACCTATTCCACTGCCCCTTCTTTCCCAGCCCAAAACAAAACAAACACAGAAAAATAATAACTTATAAAGAAGGATAAGAAACCACGACATTTAACTGCATACCCCAATCCTTCTCAACCTCAAGCTAGGGATTCTCTGTTGTAGTTGGTCAGTACAGTTTAGTGCTGGTTCCGAATGTGATGGTTGGTTGAATGATGGCCGATCTAACTTCTTACACTAACAACGTTCAACCTCCTTGTCTAGATATTAAACCTTTGTGACAAGAAGGGATCGAGAATAGACCTACAATACTTGAATTTTAAGGCTAGTAAAAGTGCACAATACACTATAACCCCCATCACGAAGTATTATGACAAAATAAACAAATTTGTAAGAGAATACAAATAGAGAAGTTAATCATGATGAGGAACAGTGTAAAGGCAATTCTCTTGGGGCAATTAATCAATTACTTTACCAGTCAGAAGGTGGGTAATTTCTTTCCTTACATTGTAGTTTATAGCTTTATCTCTTCATGAGTCCACTTTGCCTTTCACTTTTCCTCTTTGTAGAGCTTCATTTTCAGCAAATGCATGCATTCGTCTCTGAAATGGGGAGAAAAAAAATTGCAGTGTACTCAATTAAAAGATAACCACACAAGAGAGAGCGCAACTCTCAAAATTGAACAAACTAGTCACCCTATCTCCCCCCAATCATAGATTCATGGCCGTAACATTTTTACCCTCCAAATCCTAATTTAGGAGGCCGCGGCATTAACCTGAACTTCCATTATCTGGAATGCTCAAGTTGATTTTTATTTTCAATAACCATTAATCATAGAGAATTAATGAGAGAAGGTCATTTACCTGTTATATTCTTATCAGTTTCTATTTTTACCTACCACTTAAACCTTCACCTCAACCTGATCAATTATGTTTGTAAAGCATAACATCATATACAAATCCACAATCAATTGGATTGAACAAAACACCTCTTAAGTGACCAATTCCACAACCCCTTCTTCCCGGTCCAAAAGAAAAACAAACACAGAAAAAATAATAACTTATAAAGGGAGATAAGAAACCAAAAAATTTACCTGCTTACTCCAATCCTTCTCAACCTTCCCTTATTCCAAACAATGCTTGATGTGAATATCCTCAAGCAAGGGATATACTCTGTTCTAGTCGGTAAATTGTTAGATAAATGAAATTGAAATCCCTAATAAAGCTAATGGAGTATTCTATTTATATAGGAAGAGTGCGGAGCAACATGTTCAAAAGCATTTAAAAAGCCCATGTGATACCATGTGGTTAGGTGCTCAGGTCAGCCCTGTTACGTGGTGGTTGCCAGTGTGATGGGTGATGGTTGATGGCAGATCTAACTTCTTACACTAACAGTGTTCAACCTCCATGTAGATATTAAACCTCTGTGAAAAGAGTGATCGAGAACAAACCTACACAATACTTGAATTTTCAGGCTAGTAAAACTGAAAAAGTGCACTATAACCCCATCACGGAGTATTAAGAGAATACAAATATAGAAGAAACTAATCATGATGAGGAACAGTGTATAGGCGTTCTCTTGGGCAATTAATCAATTATTTTACCTGTCAGAAGGTGGGTAATTTCTTTCTTTACCACTGCAGTTTATGGCTTCATCTTTCAATGAGTCCACTTTATCTTTCACTTGACCACACGAGAGAGCAACTCACAATAGAACAAACCAGTGACTCTGCCTCCCCCAACCATAGATAGCTTATTGGCCGCAACATTTTTACCCTCCAAATCCAACTTTAGCCTTTAATACAACCTGATCAATTATATAAAGCAGAATATCATATACAAATATACAATCAACTGGATTTAAGAAAACACTTATTTAAGTGACCTATTCCACTGCCCCTTCTTTCCCAGCCCAAAATAAAACAAACACATAAAAATCATAACTTATAAAGCAGGATAAGAAACCACAACATTTTAACTGCTCACCCCAATCCTTCTCAACCTCAAGCTAGAGATTCTCTGTTGTAGTTGGTCAGTACAGTTTAGTGCTGGTTCCTAATGGGGTTGAATAATGGCCGATCTAACTTCTTACACTAACAACGTTCAACCTCCTTGTCTAGATATTAAATCTCTGCGACAAGAAGTGATCGAGAACAGACCTACAATACTTGAATTTTCAGGTTAGTAAAAGTGCATAATGCACTATAACCCCCATCACGAAGTATTATGCCAAAATAAATAAATTTGTAAGAGAATACAAATAGAGAAGTTAATCATGAAGAGGAACAGTGTATAGGCAATTCTCTTGGGCCAATTAATCAATTACTTTACCAGTCAGAAAGGTGGGTAATTTCTTTCTTTACATTGTAGTTTATTGCTTTATCCCTTCATGAGTCCACTTTACCTTTCACTTTTCCTCTTTGTTGAGCTTTATTTTCAGAATATGCATTCATTCGTCTCTGAAATGGGGAAAAAAAATTACAGTGTACTCAATTAAAAGATAACCACACAAGAGAGAGCAACTCACAAAATGGAACAAACTAGTGACTCTATCTCCCCCAATCATAGATTCATGGCTGCAACATTTTTACCCTCCAAATCCTACTTTAGTGTGCCATGGCATTAACCTGAAATTCTATTGTCTGGAATGTTCAAGTTGATTTTTATTTTCAATAACCATTAATCATAGAGAATTAATGAGAGAAGTTCATTTACCTGTTATATTCTTATCAGTTTGTAGTTCCTCAAGCTCTCTATTTTTACCTACCACTAAAACCCTCACCTCAACCTGATCAATAATGTATGTAAAGCATAACATCATATACAAATACACAATCAATTGGATTGAACAAAACACCTCTTAAGTGACCTATTCCACTACCACTTCTTCCCGGTCCTAAACGAAAACAAACACATAAAAAATAATAACTTAAAGGGAGATAAGAAACCGAAAAATTTACCTGCTTACTCCAATCCTTCTCAACCTTCCCTTATTCGAAACAATGCTTGATGTGAATATCTTCGAGAGAAAGGGATATACTCTGTTCTAGTCGGTAAATTGTTAGATAAATGAAATTGAAATCCCTAATAAAGCTAATGGAGTATTCTATTTATATTGGAAGAGTGCGGAGCAACATGTTCAAAAGCATTTAAAAAGCCGATGTGATACCTTGTGGTTAGGTGCTCAGGTCAGCCCTGTTACGTGGTGGTTGCCAGTGTGATGGTTGATGGCAGATCTAACTTCTTACACTAACAGTGTTCAACCTCCATGTAGATATTAAACCTCTGTGAAAAGAGTGATCGAGAACAGACCTACACAATACTTGAATTTTCAGACTAGTAAAACTGTAAAAGTGCACTATAACCCCATCACGGAGTATTAAGAGAATACAAATATAGAAGAAACTAATCATTTTTACCCTCCAAATGCTACTTGAGCCTTTAATACAACCTGATCAATTATATAAAGCAGAACATCATATACAAATATGCAATCAACTGGATTTAAGAAAACACCTATTTAAGTGACCTATTCAACTGCCCATTCTTTTCCCAGCCCAAAACAAAACAAAAACAGAAAAATAATAACTTATAAAGCAGGATAAGAAACCACAACATTTAACTGCTTACCCCAATCCTTCTCAACCTCAAGCTAGGGATTCTCTGTTGTAGTTGGTCAGTACAGTTCAGTGCTGGTTCCTAATGTAATGGTTGGTTGAATGATGGCCGATCTAACTTCTTACACTAACAACGTTCAACCTCCTTGTCTAGATATTAAACCTCTGTGACAAGAAGTGATCGAGAACAGACCTACAATACTTGAATTTTCAGGTTAGAAAAAGTGCACAATGCACTATAACGCCCATCACGAAGTATTATGAAAAAATAAATAAATTTGTAAGAGAATAAAAATAGAGAAGTTAATCATGAAGAGGAACAGTGTATAGGCAATTCTCTTGGGCCAATTAATCAATAACTTTACCAGTCAGAAGGTGGGTAATTTCTTTCTTTACATTGTAGTTTATTGCTTTATCTCTTCATGAGTCCACTTTGCCTTTCACGTTTCCTCTTTGTTGAGCTTTATTTTCAGCAAATTCATTCATTGGTCTCTGAAATGGGGGAAAAAAAATTACAGTGTACTCGATTAAAAGATAACCACACAAGAGAGAGCAACTCACAAAATGGAACAAACTAGTGACTTTATCTCCCCCAATCATAGATTCATGGCTGCAACATTTTTATTTTTTACCCTCCAAATCCTACTTTAGGGTGCCGCGGCATTAACCTGAAATTCTATTGTCTGGAATGTTCAAGTTGATTTTTATTTTCAATAACCATTGAACATAGAGAACTAATGAGAGAAGGTCATTTATCTGTTATATTCTTATCAGTTTGTAGTTCCTCAAGCTCTCTATTTTTACCTACCACTTAAACCTTCACTTCAACCTGATCAATTATGTATGTAAAGCATAACATCATATACAAATACACAATCAATTGGATTGAACAAAACGCCCTCTTAAGTGACCTATTCCACTACCACTTCTTCCCGGTCCAAAACGAAAACAAACACATAAAAAATAATAACTTATAAAGGGAGATGAGAAACCGAAAAATTTACCTGCTTACTCCAATCCTTCTCAACCTTCCCTTATTCCAAACAATGCTTGATGTTGAATATCCTCGAGCTAGGGATTTACTCTGTTCTAGTCGGTAAATTGTTAGATAAATGAAATCGAAATCCCTAATAAAGCTAACGGAGTATTCAATTTATATTGGAAGAGTGCGGAGCAACATGTTCAAAAGCATTTAAAAAGCTAATGTGATACCTTGTGGTTAGGTACCCAGGTCAGCCCTGTTACGTGGTGGTTGCCACTGTGATGGTTGATGGCAGATCTAATTTCTTACACTAACAGTGTTCAACCTCCATGTAGATATTAAACCTCTGTGAAAAGAGTGATCGAGAACAGACCTACACAATACTTGAATTTTCAGGCTAGTAAAACTGTAAAAGTGCACTATAACCCCATCACGGAGTATTAAGAGAATACAAATATAGAAGAAACTAATCATGACGAGGAACAGTGTATAGGCATTCTCTTGGGGCAATTAATCAATTATTTTACCTGTCAGAAAGTGGGTAAGTTCTTTCTTTACCACTGCAGTTTATGGCTTCATCTTTAAATGAGTCCACTTTATCTTTCACTTAACCAAAACGATAGAGCAACTCACAATCGAACAAGCCAGTGACTCTGCCTCCCCCAACCATAGATAGCTTCATGGCAGAAACATTTTTACCCTCCAAATCCAACTTTAGCCTTTAATACAACCTGATCAATTATATAAAGCAGAATATCATATACAAATACGTAATCAACTGGATTTAAGAAAACACCTATTTAAGTGACCTATTCCACTGCCCCTTCTTTCCCAGCCCAAAACAAAACAAACATAGAAAAATAATAACCTATAAAGCAGGATAAGAAACCACAACATTTAACTGTTTACCCCAATCCTTCTCAACCTCAAACAAGGGATTCTCTGTTGTAGTTGGTCAGTACAGTTTAGTGCTGTTTCCTAATGTGATGGTTGGTTGAATGATGGCCGATCTAACTTCTTACACTAACAACGTTCAACCTCCTTGTCTAGATATTAAACCTCTGTGACAAGAAGTGAGAGAACAGACCTACAATACTTGAATTTTCAGGTTAGAAAAAGTGCACAATGCACTATAACCCCCATCACGAAGTATTATGACAAAATAAATAAATTTGTAAGAGAATAAAAATAGAGAAGTTATTCATGAAGAGGAACAGTGTATAGGCAATTCTCTTGGGCCAATTAATCAATAACTTTACCAGTCAGAAGGTGGGTAATTTCTTTCTTTACATTGTAGTTTATCGCTTTATCTCTTCATGAGTCCACTTTGCCTTTCACGTTTCCTCTTTGTTGAGCTTTATTTTCAGCAAATGCATTCTCATTAGTCTCTGAAATGGGGAAAAAAAAATTACAGTGTACTCAATTAAAAGATAACCACACAAGAGAGAGCAACTCACAAAATGGAACAAACTAGTGACTCTGTCTCCCCCAATCATAGATTCATGGCTGCAACATTTTTACCCTCCAAATCCTACTTTAGGGTGCCGCGGCATTAACCTGAAATTCTATTGTCTGGAATGTTCAAGTTGATTTTTATTTTCAATAACCATTAATCATAGAGAATTAATGAGAGAAGTTCATTTACCTGTTATATTCTTATCAGTTTGTAGTTCCTCAAGCTCTCTATTTTTACCTACCACTTAAACCTTCACCTCAACCTGATCAATAATGTATGTAAAGCATAACATCATATACAAATACACAATCAATTGGATTGAACAAAACACCTCTTAAGTGACCAATTCCACTACCACTTCTTCCCGGTCCAAAACTAAAACAAACACAGAAAAAACAATAACTTATAAAGGGAGATAAGAAACCGAAAAATTTACCTGCTTACTCCAATCCTTCTCAACCCTTCCTTATTCCAAACAATGCTTGATGTCAATATCTTCGAGCTAGGGATTTACTCTGTTCTAGTCGGTAAATTGTTAGATAAATGAAATTGAAATCCCTAATAAAGCTAATGGAGTATTCTATTTATATTGGAAGAGTGCGGAGCAACATGTTCAAAAGCATTTAAAAAGCCAATGTGATACCTTGTGGTTAGGTGCCCAGGTAAGCCCTGTTACGTGGTGGTTGCCACTGTGATGGTTGATGGCAGATCTAATTTCTTACACTAACAGTGTTCAACCTTCATGTAGATATTAAACCTCTGTGAAAAGAGTGATCGAGAACAGACCTACACAATACTTGAATTTTCAGGTTAGTAAAACTGTAAAGTGCACTATAACCCCATCACGGAGTATTAAGAGAATACAAATATAGAAGAAACTAATCATGATGAGGAACAGTGTATAGGCATTCTATTGGGGCAATTAATCAATTATTTTACCTGTCAGAAGGTGGGTAAGTTCTTTATTTACACTGCAGTTTATGGCTTCATCTTTCAATGAGTCCACTTTATCTTTCACTTAACCACACGATAGAGCAACTCACAATGGAACAAACCAGTTACTCTGCCTCCCTCAACCATAGATAGCTTCATGGCTGCAACATTTTTACCCTCAAAATCCAACTTTAGCCTTTATAATACAACCTGATCAATTATATAAAGCAGAATATCATATACAAATATGCAATCAACTGGATTTAAGAAAACACCTATTTAAGTGACCTATTCCACTGCCCCTTCTTTCCCAGCCCAAAACAAAACAAACACAGAAAAATAATAGCCTATAAAGCAGGATAAGAAACCACAACATTTAACTGCTTACCCCAATCCTTCTCGACCTCAAGCTAGGGATTCTCTGTTGTAGTTGGTCAGTACAGTTTAGTGCTGTTTCCTAATGTGATGGTTGGTTGAATGATGGCCGATCTAACTTCTTACACTAACAACGTTCAACCTCCTTGTCTAGATATTAAACCTCTGTGACAAGAAGTGATCGAGAACAGACCTACAATACTTGAATTTTCAGGTTAGAAAAAGTGCACAATGCACTATAACCCCCATCACGAAGTATTATGAAAAAATAAATAAATTTGTAAGAGAATAAAAATAGAGAAGTTAATCATGAAGAGGAACAGTGTATAGGCAATTCTCTTGGGCCAATTAATCAATAACTTTACCAGTCAGAAGGTGGGTAATTTCTTTCTTTACATTGTAGTTTATTGCTTTATCTCTTCATGAGTCCACTTTGCCTTTCACGTTTCCTCTTTGTTGAGCTTTATTTTCAGCAAATGCACTCATTCGTCTCTGAAACGGGGAAAAAAAAAATTACAGTGTACTGAATTAAAAGATAACCACACAAGAGAGAGCAACTCACAAAATGGAACAAACTAGTGACTCTGTCTCCCCCAATCATAGATTCATGGCTGCAACAATTTTACCCTCCAAATCCTACTTTAGGGTGCCGGCATTAACCTTAAATTCCATTGTCTGGAATGCTCAAGTTGATTTTCATTTTCAATTACAACCAATGGTAATTAATAGAGCAACCGAACAAAGAATCTGGCACTCTGCAATAAACATCAAAGATTACTGCCATGATCCTACCGAAGAGAAGTTCAAATTCATTAATCAAAGAGCACCAATAAGAGAAGGTCATTTACCTGTTAATTTCCTATTAGTTTCACTGTTCAATTCTTCAAGTTCTTTATTTTCCACCTTCCACTTAGCCTTTAATACAACCTGATCAATTATATAAAGCATAACATCATTATACAAATACACAATCAACTGGATTTAAGAGAACACGTATTTAAACCTATTCCACTGCCCCTTCTTTCCCAGCCCAAAACAAAACAAACGCAGAAAAAATAATAACTTATAAAGAGGGATAAGAAACCACAACATTTACCTGCTTACTCCAATCCTTCTCAACCACGAGCTAGGGATACTCTGTTCTAGTTAGTACAATGTTAGATAAATGAAAACTAAAAATTTAAATAAATAAATAACCTGTACTGTTTCTGCTTAAACTTTTACTGTCACCAGAGTCAAAAAATCTTGCTGTCAATCTGCAAAAACACCAGTAAAACTAGAACAAATTATACAATCTCATAGGGACATATTTATACAAAGCATAACATCATATACAAATATACAATCAACTAGAATGAAGAAATAAACACAGGAAAATAATAAATTATGAAGGGAGATAAGAAACCACAAAATTTACCTGCTTACCCCAATCCTTCTCAACCTTTCCTTATTCCAGACAATGCTTGAATGATGGCAGATCTAACATCTTACACTGTGAAAATTTAAATAAATAAATAAACTGTACTGTTTCTGCTTAAACCTTTACTGTCACCAGAGTAAAAAAATCTTGCTGTCAATCTCCAAAAATCACCAGTAAAACTAGAACAAATTATACAATCTCATAGGGACATATTTATACAAAGCATAACATCATATACAAATATACAATCAACTAGAATGAAGAAATAAACACAGGAAAATAATAAATTATGAAGGGAGATAAGAAACCACAAAATTTACCTACTTACCCCAATCCTTCTCAACCTTTCCTTATTCCAGACAATGAATCAACTAGAATGAAGAAATAAACACAGGAAAATAATAAATTATGAAGGGAGATAAGAAACCACAAAATTTACCTACTTACCCCAATCCTTCTCAACCTTTCCTTATTCCAGACAATGCTTGAATGATGGCAGATCTAACATCTTACACTAACAGTGTTGAACCTCCTTGCCATGATATTAAACCACTGTGACAAGAAGTGATCGAGAACAAACCTATAATACTTGAACTATCATGTTAGTAAAACTGTAAAAGTGCCATATAACCTGTTACGAAGTATTATGACAAAATAAAATAAATTTGTAACAGAATACAAATAGAGAAGAAGTTAATCATGCCCAGGAACAGTGTATAGCCAATCTCTTGGGCCAATTCATCAATTATTTTACCCATCAGAAGGTGGGTAATTTCTTTCTTTACACTGTAGTTTTGGCCTTATCTTTTAATGAGTCTACTTTACCTTTTCCCTTCTCTTTTTTGATCTTTTTTTTTCCACAAACGCATTCATATGTCTCAGAAAGATAACCACACAAGAGAGAGCAACTTACAATGGAATAAATCAGTGACTTTGCCTCCCCAATCATAGCTTCATGGCTGCAACTTTTTTACCCTCCAAATCCTACTTTAGGGGCCGGCATTAACCTGAAATTCGACGTCCACCGGTCCCCGTTTCCGGCGGAAGGCGGATTGGCGCGGTATAGAGTGTTCGAGACGGAGAGAATTTTGAGGGGTGAGAGTGAACACCGAAAAAACAAAGAAATAGGAAATTTAAACTGCTTGGAAATAGGAAATCCAAGGGCAAACAAATTTTGCCGGCATTAACCTGAAATTCGACGTCTGGTGACCGTTTCCGGCGGAAGGGGGATTGACCGCAGGAGACTGCGAGAGAGTGTTTTTTTCTTTGAGTACGGAGACTGGGAGAGAGTGCTTGAGCCGGAGAGAACGCCGAAAAAACAACAAAGAAATTGAAACCAACTGCTTTAGAAATAGGAAACCATAAACTCCAACGGCAAAAAAATTACAACGGCAAAAAAAAAAAATTGTGCTATTTAAAAATTGAAATCTTAAAAATAAATAAAGTCGGTCAGTATTTTATTTTAATATTTTTATCTGTGTTATTTTCGCAAAGACATAAATCAAGTTTTTTTTTTAAAGTTTTTTTAAAATTAAAATAAGATAAATGGACTAACTCCCTCCCCGTTCAGGGAATTTAAAATTTATTTATTTTTAAATTTCTAATAGCCTAATTTTTCTTCTAAAACATAATTCCCTTTTTTTTCCAATGTCTTTCATTTATTTATTTATTATAATAGGAATATTTTGGGTCAAAAAAATATATACACACACAAATATAAATCATGTCTGACCCATAACCCAACAAGATTAATAAGTTGTTATGTTCATAGATTATTTAGTTCGGCCGGATCACACTATACCAAATAATAAGCATTTGAACTACTGCAGAGTGCTGACTCATAGTCTCTTTTTTAAGTTTTTTTTTTTTTTAATTGAACCAAACAATAATGGATTGTTTGGTAGACATGAACTGCATTGCAATTCCACCATAATTTTTGGTCATACCAATTACAATGTTTTGGTTGGAGGGAATTGCAATTCCACCAAATTGTATTTCATGACCCATTCTAATTCAGCAATGGAATGAGAGAAATATATTGTTGCGAAGATAATTTTACCCATTGTCTTTATTATTTTCATCCACTCGCTCATTTTTTCTCTTCCACAATACATCACCAGTACGCAATTGCAGGTTGTGCTCTTTCGTCTTATTATATCCTTCCATAGTTGCTTTCATGCTGCACTCAAGTTCTAAATCACAAACAGACCCATCATTATTAGTAGTAGTAGTTTCAGTCATTGTATCACTTCTACAATTTCAATTCACTGTAATCATATTCTTGCTGCATACCAAACACTGCAATTTGAATTCCAAATTTATTGTCATATTATTCTTTTCCCACTTAATTATAAATCATTTTCCCCATAATTATTTCATTCCAACCAAACGCTCAGGGGTGTTGTTTTTCATGAGCAGGCATATCCTTTTAAAATGAACAATTCTGATTTTGAGCATGAGTCGCTCCTGTGCCAAGATTGTTTGATCCATCTCTACCTTTAGTACCAACTTATGTGGAGGCAGAAACCACTTCTTTGGAACCAGTTCAGAGAAATGAAGTTGTAGACCAAGCTGGTGAAATGGCCAGAACCACATTGATAAATGATCACCCCACAGATGAACATGTTGATGAGCAACAGTATGATATCCCTTCCTCAGCTGGTCATGCTCAGCAGCCTAACCTTGACAGCCATATAGATGATTATGATAATATTGAATGTAGCCACAGTGAACAACCACAATTTGAAATTCATCTCAACAGTCCTGGTGATCATGATGAGCAGCAGCAGCCCAGGAGATCTATGAGAATGAGAAACATTCCTTCCAAGTTTCAAGATTATTTCTGCCAGTCTGTAGCATCCAGTCAGACAAGTGACAGAAGCTCACCTCACCCTATCAGTCAATTCATCTCTCTTCAAGGATTGTCACCTGCTCACAAATTTTGTGCAACCTCTATTTCTTCTTCTCATGAGCCTCAGTCCTACAAAGAGGCAGTGATGCATGAGGAATGGAGAAAAGCTATGGAAGTTGAAATAGAAGCTCTCATTCAAAACAACACATGGATCCTCATTGATTTACCCAAAGGAGAATCTCTTATTGTCTGTAGATGGGTATACAAAGTGAAGCATAAAACAGATGGTTCTATAGAAAGGTACAAGGCTAGACTTGTTGCCAAGGGGTATACTCAGCAGCTAGGTGTGAATTACATTGAGAATTTTTCTCCTGTAGCAAGAATGACCACTATCAAAACTTTTTTGGCTGTGGCTGCTGCCAAGGCTTAGAATGTTCAACAACTTGATATCAACAATGCTTTTTTGCATGGAGATTTAGAGGAGGAAGTGTATATGGTTCTACACCAGGTTTTCAAAATGCCAAGCCTTTAGATTACTCTCAGAATACGATTTTTAAAAAATTACCTGTCAAAGTAATCATTACTTTTTGAAAAAATACATCACCTTGATAAAAGTGTTAGCATTTCCCTTCTCACATGAACAATACTTAGATAATCACATTGTTTATACATGTTCAAATTTCATTTCAAAGAAAATTCAAAAACTACAAGAATGTAGACTTTAGATTCTTCTCAGAATATGTTCTAAAAAAAATTACCTGTCAAAGTTATCATTACTTTTAAAAAAAAAATACAACACCTTGATAAGAGTGTTAGCATTTCCCCGGTCACATGAACAATACTTAGATAATCACATACATTGTTTATACATGCTCAAATTTCATTTCCAAAGAAAATTCAAAAACTACAGAAATTTAGACTTTATATTCCTCTCAGAATAAGTTTTAAAAAAATTACCTGTCAAAGGTAATTACTATTTGAAAAAATACACCACCTTGATAAGAGTGTTAGCATTTCACTGGTCACATGAACAATACTTAGATAATCACATTGTTTATACATGCTCAAATTTTATTTTCAAAGAAAATTCAAAAACTACACGAATTAAGACATTATATTCCTCTCAGAATAAGTTTTTAAAAAATTTAACTGTCAAAGGTAATCATTACTTTTTGAAAAAATACACCACCTTGATAAGACTGTTAGCATTTCCCTGGTCACATTAACAATATTTAGACAATCACATTGTTTATAAATGTTCAAATTTCATTTTCAAAGAAAATTCTAAAACTACAGGAATTCAGACTTTAGACTCCTATCAGAATAAGTTTTTTAAAAAATTAGTTGTCAAAAGTAATCAATAATTTTTTAAAAAATACAGCACTTTGATAAGAGTGTTAGCATTTCCTTGTTCACATGAACAATATTTCATCACTAAGAAGTAACGCTTGATGTATAAAAGAATTTTACCAGAAGTTCCGCCGAATACGACGTGTTGCTATTATTAGTTAATTTAGTTTTAAAATAATTTCTTTACAACTAGTCAATAACGAAAACGTCACGTCAACAATATTATTCAAAAACAACAGGAATTTAGAATTTAGATTCCTCTCAGAATAATGTTTTTTAAAATAAATTGCTTGTCAAAGATAATCATTACGTTTTGAAAAAAATAAACCACCATGATAAGAGTGTTAGCATTTCCCTACATGAACAATACTTAGATAACCACATTGTTTATACATGCTCTAATTTCATTTTCAAAGAAAATTTAAAAACTACAGAATTTTCGACTTTATATTCCCCTCAGAATAAGTTTTTTTTTTTTTTTTTTTTTTTTAAAGTACCTGTCAAAGGTAATCATTACTTTTTGAAAAAATACACCATCTTATCAAAGTGTTAGCATTTCGCTGGACACATGAACAATATTTAGATAATCACATGCATTGTTTATACATGCTCAAATTTCATTTTCAAAAAAAATTCAAAAACTACAGAAATTTAGACTTTAAATTCCTCTCAGAATAAGCTTTTATAAAAATTACTTGTCAAAGATAATCATTATATTTTGAAAAATACACCACCTTGATAAAAGTGTTTGCATTTCCCTGGTCACATGACCAATACTTAGATAATCACATTGTTTATACATGCTCAAATTTCATTTCCAAAGAAAAAATCAAAAACTACAGGAATTTAACTTTATATTCCTCTCCGAATAAGTTTTTTAAAAATTACTTGTCAAAGGTAATCATTACTTTTTGAAAAAATACACCACCTTGATACGAGTGTTAGCATTTCCCAGGTCACATGAACAATACTTAGATAATCACTTTGTTTATAAATGTTCAAATTTCATTTTAAAAAAAAATTCAAAAACTACAGGAATTTAGACTTTAGATTTTCTCAAAGTTTTTAAAAAAAAAAAAAAAAATTAGCTGTAAGAGGTAATCATTACTTTTTGAAAAAATACACCACCTTGATAAGAATGTTAGTATTTCTCCGTAAACATGAACAATATTTCATCACTAAAAAGTAACGCTTAATGTATAAAAGAATTTTACTAGAAGTTCCGCCGAATACGACGTGTTGTTATTATTAGTTAAGTTAGTTTTAAAATAATTTCTTTACAACTAGTCAATAACAACACGTCACGTCAACAATATTACTCAAAAACTACAGAAATTTGGACTATAGATTCCTCTCAGAATAAGTTTTTTTAAAAAAAAAAATTACCTGTCAAAGGAAATCATTAATTTTTGAAAAATTACGCCACCATAATAAGAGTGTTAACATTTCCCTGGTCACATGAACAATATTTAAATAATCACATCGTTTATACATGCTCAAATTTAATTTTCAAAGAAAATTCAAAAACCACAGGAATTTAACTTTATATTCCTCTCAGAATAAGTTTTAAAAAAAATTACATGTCAACGGTAATCATTACTTTTTGAAAAAAATACACCACCTTGAAAAGAGTGTTAGCATTTCCCTGGTCACATGAACAATACTTACATACTCACATGCATTGTTTATACATGCTCAAATTCCATTTTCAAAGAAAATTCAAAAACTACAGGAATTTAGACTTTATAGTCCTCTCAGAATAAGTTTTTAAAAAAATTATCTGTCAAAAGTAATCATTACTTTTTGAAAAAAATACACCACCTTTGATCACATTGTTAGCATTTCCCAGGTCACATGAACAATACATAGATAATCACATTGTTTATACATGCTCAAATTTCATTTTCAAAGAAATTCAAAAACTACAGGAATTTAGACTTTTTATTCCTCTCAGAATAAGCTTTTAAAAAAATTACCTGTCAAAGGCAATCATTCCTTTTTGAAAAAATACACCACCTTGATAAAAGTGTTAGCATTTCCCTGATCACATGAAGAATACTTGGATAATCACATTGTTTATACATGCTCAAATTTCATTTTAAAAGAAAATTTTAAAACTACAGGAATTTATACTTTATATTCCTCTCAGAATAAGTTTTAAAAAAAAATTACCAGTCAAAGCTAATCATTAATTTTTGAAAAAATACACCACCATGCAAAGAGTGTT